CGAGCAATGGTGAGAAGTCTTTCTTCAACCTTGTTAGAAACCATGAGAGCGTAGTTCATGTTGGAAGCCTTCTTGAATTTACCACGACGAAGGAAAGCTTTTTCTCCATTTTCAGGGTTGGGCTTGTGGCCAGGACGTGCGACCCATCCAATAGTATGTTCGTCATAAAAGTCACGACGAGCTTGAGCTTCGTCTTCAGGAAGTAATTGCATACCATCATCATTGATGAAGATATTGGCAGTGCCACCTTGAAGTTCATAGGTGGAGATAGCAGCCTTGAGAGAAATGATCGTAGGTTGAATAACACCAACGAGACCCTCCTTGTAGACAGGCATTTGAATAGTGACGTGAGGAAGCTCTCGGTTGTTTCGGTTGAGACGCTGAGGAGCTTTACCGGAGTAAAATTTCGAGTTACTGTTTAAGTTGTTGATTGGTCCAAAACACTGGGTGAGATTGACGATAATGACTTGCATGAAGAAAAGGGAAACGAAAACTTGACAAGGGACGACGGCGAGTAAAGCCAATCGAGTGTAATTTCCATCAACAGCGACTTCAAGGCCAAGTTTTCTCCAACCGAGACCGAGAGCGGTGACGAGGAGACACAAAGTTGCACCAACCATGAGAGGATTGAGTAGTAACGTTGGTCTTTTTTCTTGCGCTCCATAACCGTCTTCAACATCAGATCCGCTTCCCAACTCAGCGGTGGAAACATTTGCTCCACCCTTCTTCTCGTCGGTTTCTTCGTCATCATCGGCCCAGATCATCTCCAGCAAAGATCTTTCAATGTACTCTGCTCTCTGCAACAAGTGTTTTGGGTCATCATCCCAGACAATGAGAATTTGTTGATCTTGGATAAAAGCACCGAAGTGGTGCTTTTGGCATCGAGGTAAATACTCGACAGTAGGAAGAACTTGAAGACGGAGACCATCCGAAAGAGGCACATAATCAGCGTGTTGACGGGCGAGGAAGATTTTGATCACGCGAGTATTGACAGTCATGGCAGCCTAAATATCGAGTTAGCACATGCTGTTGAAGAAAAAGGATACCATTCACTTACTCTGACATTCATTGCTACAATATAATCAAAGATACCCGATGGTTCCGTCCTTAAAGAAGGCGGACAGCATGTGAAATCACCCTTTGCCTTCTTCAAGATAACACCCTCTCCCGGAGCACCAACTGCCCATAGTTTTTCCATTTGTTGTTGATGTAACCAACTGACAACTACATCAGATCTGACAGTCAAAACACTCTCCCTAGGACCATTTCTGAAATCACCTTCCGGATATAGAGAGGATGGCCTCGAACGATCGGCAAAGGATCCTGCCATTGGTGAACCTAGAGGAGGGGTTGTATGCATTTCCAACTGCATTGGTGCTGATGTTCCAGTCTTCTTTGCCTTCTTCGCATCTTGCTCGGCCTTCTTCCCAGGGGCGAGATATCCCTTAAGGGCGTTCATCTTGGATAATAAAGAGTAAAATGCAGTCAAATGTGAGAATGATATATGTATGATTTATGATTAATAATAAGTTAATAATTAATAAAGTTGAAGATGTGCAACGAGTGTTGGAATAAAGAAAGATTGGAACAGTAAGCCAAAAGAAAGATAGCTTTACTGTAGATGAATAACAAAAGTTCAAGATAAAAGCATTTCTGACGATCGGGGTGAAGGGCAATATGTACTAAGAAGATGCTGTGAAGAGAGGGCCATATTCATTAGCGCCGCTGAGCACTGCAAAAACTTTACTAGTGAAGCTAACAATAGGTAGGCACTGAGCAAACAACATCCATTCATGGTACCTGCATTGGTTCGGAACAAAGAGGAGCTGAGAAAAGTCCTAACCAAGTTACCAAATCTGGAGCTTTCGCAACTGTAAATTGTCAAAATCTGTAGCTCGAACAGGCCTGAGCGAGAAACAAACAAGATCAAGCATTCAGCTTGCTACTGACATACTTGATTGGATCATTTTACCGTACGATTGCAAGCTTGGATAAGCCATGCGGGCAGTGCGAGCAATGAAATGGATAGGAACCCCTCCTTCATGATGCTACAAAGAGTATCAAACGCCGAGTCCAAAACTAAAGAAATGTAGTTCAGAGCTACCCGGGTGTGACTGTCCCAAGGTTGGTTAGGATTCAGACGAAACTATTTTTGATGCTGTGCGTTCCCGACGCAGCTTTGACAATTAAAACATGAGGTAGACAGAAGCGAGTAGGTTCGGTCTATTGGAAATGATGAAGCGATTGACCCTAAACTGGGATGTCAATTCGTAATTAGGCGAAAGACTCTGCCCCTGCAGGTAAATTTTTGAGCTAGACGCACTGTGGAATTAGCGTCTTTTTTGGAAGATCTACAATGATCTCCACCGTTGTATAACATATTTGAAAGTTCCTATTGCACGCTTTTTGTCTATGAGGACTTGAATTTGTTAGTGCTGAAATTTCTCAAACAAGCATTTCATTATCATGATTACATGGTGACCATGTATGTTGGAATAACTTTTATATGACGCTCGTACATAAAATTACTCAATTAGCTCGAATCATATTTCGCGCGTACCTGCCTTAGTTGCTCACCCAAAAGATTATTACAGGGACTTGGCTTCGGATGGCTGCAGTAGTGCCTCTGAATTGGATTTGGTATAGGCGTCGAGGAAATTGCATAGCGGCTCAAAAGTTAGATGGAAAAGTTCCACGATTGACACTGTACGATGATGAATGGTCAGATGTTGTAAGCTGTATGATACTTACTTCAACTGGATATCAAACCTGCGAGATCTCACAGATGGCGAGTGGTATCTATCTTTCTAGCCCCATTAACTGACATACCAAGGAACAATGATCAGCATTGATGCGGTGCTACATCAACGCCATATCAGATTTTTACCAAATACCGGGGAAAAGTCAACTAACCTCAGACCATTCATAAGGTACTAACACTCAAGGCATGACATTTTCAAGATTTCGAGATTCTCAAATATGTTGCATCTAGATTTAAGACGAGATAGTGAAAATTCGCCTACCAAATCTTAATTATCGAGGGTTATCCTGATATGTGTCAGCCTCTCTTATCTTTTGCTCTAGGTTGGGGGGCTCTTCTCCATTTGACATATGGGTTTTTACAGCAGCTCTCAATCGCTTGAAGTAATTCTTTATCAATTCCCAAAGGGCGGAATTGGGTTTAGCATATGGTTTATGCGAAATGCTAAACCGAATCCAGGCCCTTATCTCAGGGATCACGTAGAGAAGAACCCCTCACTCAGCACGCTAGAAGATCTCCCAAAAACTTGATATCTGCAATGTAGATTGGAAAATCAGCTAGTTTGGAGATCAGACTTATTTTCCTAGTGTAAAGTTAAAGAGTTTCCACTTTTCCTACAGGAAATTTTGGGACAGTTTTCCCGATATCAAGATCAAGAATTACCATACTAGGTAGATAGGTAAACTATATCTGGAAAAAGAACCACTACTTGCAAATGATCTTCAATTGTATTTGTGTTTCTGTAAGTTGGCTATCGTAAAGCCGTTGTCGAGTGATAGACAAGCCGATAAGAACTCGAAAGTCCAGGTGTTCATTCAGAGCACTCTTTCGTATAAACTCGGCAGATAGAGAGGCATTGTTCAATTGAAGTCTTGGCTTGGCTGGCTGGAACGATAAAAAAATATCAGCCAAAGCGATTTCAATCGCACATCATAACAAATTCCGATTGGTATTGTCAATTGTAATCAACAAATCGTGATTGTATAACTCCGAGTACGAAAGAATGAAGAGACGAGACCCTTGAAGTCAAAAAGGTTAAAGATTCCAGCTGGATGTGTTTTGGAAGGTCTGTCTATTATTTGCATGGTATATACTACATCATGAAACGAACACGACATATTTCACCACGGTGCCTCAGGGTGCATGGACAATTTAATTTCGGAGGTTTATAGCTAGTTGGGCCCAAGCTCTTTTCGGGTAGATAATATTTGGGAAATCCATCTGAGGCCTCTGTTGAAGGGGAAAATACAGAAGAAATGTAATGGATTTTTGGGGGGAGGGAAGGGGAGGCTGAAGGATCTTGTTACAATTGTTACAATTGTTTCTTTCTCGAAGACTTGTCTCGGCGCCCAAATGTCGAAGAGGAAGGATGCATGGAATCGGGAGAAGATCTGGAAGCTTGAGGTGACACGACCCTTAATTCAAAGGAAGATGGAGTGAGTTCTCACTGTACTGCACTGCTCAGACTCTTTTTTATCGTATTGATGCATGCCCCTGACTACCTAGTCTTTATTTTCTCGTGTCTCGGCAAGCATCCGTGGAGACCAGCTATGTCGGCTAATGTCAATGTTAAGAAGTGTATCACAGTGTTGGATCGTTTCTTCACCTATGGAGTATGGTCAAGAACAACTCGCATAATTAGTGTTGGATAAACATCCAGATGAGGTAATGTGGATATCAAGCAACGCCTTGAAAGCGGCCTTTCTTCTCCTTTTGGATGTTTTGTCCAGAGTTCAAAGAGCCCGTTGTCTCCAAACGCTCGATAAATCCTGCCGCCTCCGTCCGCCACCAAGCAATTGATTCATTTTGGCTCTATCTTCACACAGTATCGGTGAGTTACCATCTAATATCACCCAATAAAACGTATCTGCGAGAAAAATCTGCATGGCATAATCTCCGTAGGCTTGATTCAAGAGAATCACGAAATTCGGCGTGTCGAGACCAGGTGTTGTTTTAGTGTCTAGAGTCGTTTAGTAAACATGCCATCTAATCTTTGTCTTACAAAACGTCCCTTGTAATTGTGCATAGCTCGGGACCGATTCTTTGATGCTGTAAATTTAAAGCTCTATTTTGGGACCACAGGAATATGTTTCAACCTTTCGCTGAACGTTCCGTGCGTAAATCAGCATATTCAAGGAGTTAAGATAATAATTCGACGCATGAAGAGCCCGATGTTCGAAGGATATTTGTAGACAGTGCCTAAAGAGGCAAACGGTGGTGAAAATATTCTCCCTAGTGATTAGTGTTTGGGTGCTTTCTGCATATAAGGTTGATTCTCATTATCCTGGAGGAGAGCGTGGTGAAATATCCTCAAAGGGCCCGCTAAAGCTGATTGTCTCAATAACAATCGAGTCCTCACAATTGTTAATATGCAACTTCGCCGGCTCTTCTTGCTCTTAAGATAGCTTTTTCCAAAGGGCTGAAAATTCGTCAAATCGTTCGACACCGTGAGCAATGGCTTAGAAAGCAAGGTAGACCAACAAAAGTTTTGACTCTGATGCATATTGACAAGTTTCTCAAAGCTCCAGGACCATATAATCGTGCGTCTGCTTTTGCCCATAAGGCTGACCTACTAAATCTAGCTTGCCCGTCACTAATCTGAAAGCCCGGAGGTTCAGAAGTTGTGGGCGATTTGATAGTCTCGGATCCATGCCACACTAGTGATGGATCACTATGGAATATTCATAAGGTTGTTGCTTCGTTTTCTTACTTAAAGCCATCTTGTAGTCCCAGAGATAAATTAGGCCGTACATAAATGCTTCTGCCTACATCGTTCATGTCAATAGTCTGCACTCAGCATCGCTTGTAGTTGGCTAAAACTATTCTGTCGGGGTGAAGCTGTCACTTGCGCTCTCCCAAGGAAAAATAGTGAAATTGGAAATTGACAAATTGAGGTTCCGAGGCTCAAAAATTGAAAACGTCCTTTTGAGGATGAATATGGTAATTCCGCAAGGCTCAATGATCGATCCCGGATAACTCATATTTGTAAGACATCTAACAGCCAGTGTATCTACGTTGAGATTCTACCCGTCAGTTATTTATTTCTCCACGGGTAAAGGATTTTGATTGAACGCATGATAGTATCTGACACCTGGTCATCAATTCGTGAGTCACCGTATGGATAGCAACAGGTTGGAGGCGATGTATTGGTTTCCTAATATCCTTGGCAAGACCTTAGATATAGGTGTGATCGAAGGGTAAGATAAATGTGGGCGCTGGAGGTGATAACTGTTGAGACAACTCAGTTGCCTGGTTTGATCTGGCAACGCTCTTCTTTGCGTCTGATATAAAGCAAAGATGTTGATTCTTGGAAAGTGCAATAGCTCACATGCCTTAGATCCCAGTTTTACCGTGGTCATCAGAGATCAAAGCCGGTTTGAGCACCATCTTTCGACTTACACGTCGGCAGTCAAATTATAAGCCGTGAGTGAGTAGCATGACTGAGATTGCTATATCAAGTTCAGGAAACCCTCGTTGTCGATTTGAACACATGATTGTAATTGTAACCATGGTAATCCGAGCCACATATCCTAGCAAGCTGAAGTAGCTTCTTGTAATTTCCGGTAGTGTACTTGTACCACTTTGTTCACATGGCGGTGACAACATGGAGTGTAACATCGGCTCGGTGACAAATTTCTACCTCAATATGACGCCCGAGTTATTCGGTACATATTGCAACTCGACGCGCCATCACATCTTAATCCCATCTCGATCCTATGTATAGTGCGAGGTGAGGCCAGGAAGAAGATCGCAGACCTAATGGTGCCCTTCAATCTGAACAGGACCAGTATGTCAATAATTTGGAGCACCAAGAGATTCTTCTTTTTTTTTTTGGATATCAATGAAGGTTGAAACAATGAGTCTAGATCATCTTCGAGGGGCAGTGAGCATATCAATCCGCAAGTTGTGCCGTGCAGTCAGTATATGTGGAATGAGACGAATATGGTTCAAACTCCTTACCACGATAGACCAGCGACATATTCAATATTTGAGGAGTAGTGATGTTGAATGTACCCATTGACTTTGTTCATACTCTGCTTTGTTGAGGTTGAGACGTTGTGTTGCATTGGAATACCTAGGTACACGACAAGAATAGCGGAAACCGAACCGGATGCCGCTGTCACGACGTAGCCCCCACGAAGATTGAACCCTTAACCTTTATAATCTAGGGCTGTCCAATGGGATACGAGCTGGTCAACGATGATGGTGAGATGGGTGACCGCCACAGGATCCACTATTTTCATTAACAGTATGCTATGATTGGCTCCATCACTAGGAGTACCGTCACTAATGCATCTGAGATGATAAATTTCATGCTGTGTTCATACTGCATCTGGGCGGCTTGGAGGCGGTGAAGAACACACAAGAGAATGACATCAAAGACAAATAAAAAAATAAAAAAGATCAGAAGAACATTGGGAGTTGATGTAGATGAACCAATATTCAACATGACTCAACACATTTTGAGGATCTTCAGATTAAAAGATGGAAACTTGGACTCGCTCTCATAGGTTGAGCAAGATTTGACGAAGGAACAGTGCAGGCCAGATTGAAGGATTGCAGGATGTTGAATGTTTGGTAGACATTGGACATTGGACACAAGATATTGAATGCTGTGGTTATCTTTCATTGGGATCGTGCGGCGGCACCGATAACACTACCTAGGTATCTGCTAGGGATCTGCTAGGTTTCATACCCACGATACTTGTAGTCAGCTACAGCCAGCAAGCCAGCAAGTCAGCCAGCTATGATCAAACATTTCTGCTGACGTTTTGAAACCCTTTTCGAACTTTCCACCAACATCCAAACATACAACGAATCTCATACTCTTACCCTCTTTTTTGTGGAGATTATAACAGTATACGAGTAATACTATTCGATTTCCATCTTCTTAAAACCTACTAGATCCATATTCAGTATTCAATTCTTCCATTCTTCCATTCTTCTTCATCTCATCTATCTACGACTACGGTCTACATCTTTTTCAGAAACTAAAAACATCATCCCCCCCACCTCTCACCCCACTGTCTGTACCCAGAATTTATAACTTCTTAAGACGTCACCGTTTCGAAAATTGTCCAGAGATATTACAGAATTACAAAATTGCAAACGCCCATCAGAGAACTTTCCGATCATAGAATGACCTCGCCATTGCGAAAGAACCGTACTTCTAGTGTTTCCAGTGAAATCGATCCATTCGCTGCGGCACATGTTTACTACAGCAATGACACAAATCAGAAATCGTTTCGACAATTTCGAACCCGTACATACTCTTCAGTAAGCACATCACTTCTCTTGTAACCCTTTCGGAAACTCATCTAATCTCCTCGCAGAATCAGAGCACCTTCTCCGTACCCATCTCAGGATTAGAAAAACCGAAGAGGAGAGGCAGTCATGGTCAGTTGCATATATTCTGACATACAAAGTCTTATCGACTAATATACATGTGTGCAGATGACATTGGAGATCATGGGCGCAAATTCTTAATACAAGTTGACTCGACACTGGAAGCCCTTCGAAAACAGGAAGACACGGATGATAACCACCAAATTACAATTGAAGATGTAGGGCCAAAGGTAGGATTTCTGCAGATTGCATTATTCGCTCAATTCTTGAACTGACGCATTTTGTCACAGACACTTCCTCTCGGAACCGCTACCTCGAACGGATTTAAAAGATATGATATTCGTGGGACTTATATGCTATCAAATCTTTTGCAGGAATTGACTTTGGCGAAGGAAAATGGTAGAGAGCAAATTATCTTGGATGAATCTCGCCTCAATGAGAATCCTGTCAATCGCCTCTCAAGATTGATACAAGGCTCGTTCTGGGATGGGCTGACTCGTAGAATCGATGGCTCGGTGATTGAAATTGCTGGGCGTGATCCTAAGGATTGGACCGATGATCCCCGGCCACGAATCTACATCCCACGGGGTGCACCTGAACAGCATGCATACTATACCAAAGTGGCAACTGACAGACCTGAAGTGCGTCTGGATGTTTGTTGGCTACCTGAGAAAATTACACCAGAAGTTGTTCGTGACATGAACTCTAAGCCTGGTCTTTTAGCTGTTGCCATGGAGGAAGTTATAGATCCGTCAACAGGCGAGAAGACTCTCAAGGGGTTACCATTCGTAGTACCAGGTGGTAGATTCAACGAACTTTACGGATGGGACAGTTATATGGAATCACTCGGTTTAATTGTCAATGACAAGGTACACTTGGCCAAGTCGATGGTACAAAACTTCTGCTTTTGCATTGAACATTACGGAAAGATCCTCAATGCCACCAGGTCATACTATTTATGTCGTTCTCAACCACCTTTCTTGACAGACATGGCACTTCGAGTTTTTGACAAGATCAAGCACGAGCCGGGATCATTGGACTTTCTAAAGACAGCTATTCTTGCCGCCATCAAGGAATACCATAGCGTGTGGACGGCAGAGCCAAGATATGATCCCGTCACAGGTCTATCGAGATATCGCCCTGAGGGTCTCGGTGTACCTCCAGAAACCGAAGCATCGCATTTTGAACATTTGTTAGCACCTTATGCTAAGAAGCACAACATGACCTTTAAAGAATTTGTTGATGCTTACAACAACGGCAAAGTCGTGGAAAAGGAATTGGACGATTACTTCCTACACGATCGAGCAGTTCGTGAATCAGGTCATGACACATCCTACCGTTTGGAAAGGGTTTGCGCAGATCTTGCGACAATCGATCTTAATTCTCTTCTTTATAAATATGAAAAGGATATCGCACATACCATTCGTACATTTTTCAAAGACAAGCTTGAGGTTCCAGCCGAGTTTTGCGTGGGCGATATGACGCCTGGTCAGCTGCAAACTTCTTCCATGTGGGATCGAAGAGCCAGAGGTCGCAAGTTGGCCATTGATAAATACCTCTGGAATAAAGAGAAGGGCATGTACTTTGATTATAACACCCTGAAGCAAGAGCAGTGCACATATGAGAGTGCTACTACCTTTTGGGCAATGTGGGCAGGTGTTGCTTCGCCACAGCAAGCTGCCAGCCTCGTCACTAATGCTCTTCCTAAGTTTGAAGCTGCTGGAGGTTTACTGTCTGGAACTGAAGAGTCTCGTGGTGCCGTTGGATTAGACCGACCAAATCGACAATGGGATTACCCATATGGTTGGGCTCCACAGCAAATGCTAGCTTGGACGGGACTACTACGATACAATTATCAGGAAGAAGCCGAACGACTTGCTTACAAATGGTTGTTCATGATCACAACAGCGTTTGTTGATTTCAATGGTGTGGTGGTTGAAAAATACGATGTGACCAGAGTGATTGATCCTCACAAGGTTGATGCAGAATATGGCAACCAAGGGTCGGATTTCAAGGGAGTTGCTAAAGAAGGGTGAGTTATACCAATGTGTTTGACCAATTGCAACGTTCTAATGATTTCTAGTTTCGGATGGGTTAATGCCAGTTATGTTTACGGACTTCAAATCATCAATGCACATATGCGACGAACCCTAGGAACACTTACTCCTTGGGAGCAGTACACTAAGGCTATGAACCTTTGAGTATACGAAGACAGGCTATTTAATGCGTCAACGACATTTGCGTTTTTGCTCTATACCCTTTGAGTGCCTTGATAGCATTCAGAAATATTCTCGAGTTCTCGAGTTCTCGAGTTGATGATTGGAATGATCAGGATGGTGAGGATATGCAGTGGGCATTTGTTTTGAGGGAATGGAGACTTTAAAGAAGACATGTATATGTTAGAAGCAAAATAGCAGACCTGTGCTGCCCCGTAAGAAATTAATATGCCGGCGAAACCGCTGATAACATTATATATCCATTAATCGTTCATTGATGACCTGATCTTTCTCGGCTTTTCTACGCATCACTTCCTAACATTGACACAATACTCGCAAGGTTACATGAACGAAGGATATATGACTGAAAACGTAAATATCTCACAGAATGCCTAGCCTTTCCTTCCTAAATCGCATCCTATAGTCGGATTATAAAAAGCATGATCGGAAACAATCATCTTTTCGGAACAGTACCAAGGCGATAACCGGATCAACCTTTACGAATGAAGGGGTAACTAAGCCGAGGCATTTATTGGACCTCTCAAAATTTGATCCCCTCCTCCGCATTAGAGGGTCTGCCCCTCGGCAGAACTATTAATCCTTGTGAGATCTGGGGTTATCGTATCTATTTTGGAATTCTCGAGGGTCTTCACATGTTTACGATAACGTCGAGTTTTGCGTGTGTGGAAACACATGTTAAGTGATAGCTGAGATGTAACTTTCCAAGAGCATGTCTTACATGATTCTTACGCCTGGGCACTGGGCAGTCTGACCGTATGAGGGATGTTTTGATGATGAGATTGGAGATTGGGATGAATGAAAATTGATGGCAAATGGTAAAGTAGATGAGTGATGCTATCGTAGGTAAAGAAGCACACGACCCAGAATTGATATCCAAAGACCAGCAAACATATTCACAACTCTCCATCTCAAATCTCAACTACCATCCATCCATGATTCCGCATTCGTCATAAGAAAAGTCAATCGCAAGATGTTACACTAAAACGCATCAGATCTAGAAAGCCAAGATCACTAAAATGGTACCTCTGTTTTCCCCAGTTTTCGGGAATGTATCCAATCACGGCATTCCTAAAGCTCTCCCTTTGATCCGAACAACCAACCATATGCTCTGTATATTGATGGCAAAGGATTCCTTGATGGTCCGAGGATACAAACGATTGTGAATGAGTCTTGTCATGAGCTTGCGATGTAGGAAGTTAGTTCGGACCTTGGGCCGGGTAGGTTCCTAGGAGGAGGGGAATATATAGCTATATACCTTGGAACCATCTGTTTCTGTGTTTTCCTTCGATGCTGTGTTTGACATTGTTTACTTTATAATCTTGAGATTTAAAAGTTTGATTACTAGTTCGATATTCTACATTCCTAAAGATACATAGGATTCTTCACTTCTTACATTCTAACTGAACGTCAATTCTTCAGAGCTTGAAAGAAGTTACTCACAAACGAGACTTATTTCTTGTTTTATATACCCTATATCCACACACACACATACAAGATGGCTTCTACAAACAGAATGGCCGGTACTTCTGTAGATCCAGAACAAGAAGAGAGAATCTTTCTAGAAGAAGTTGCTGCTGTCAAGCAATGGTGGGCAGATGAGAGATGGAGATATACCAAGAGAGCTTTTACTGCTGAGCAAATTGTGGCAAAGAGGGGAAATTTAAAGATTGAATACCCAAGTAATGCACAATCGAAAAAGCTTTGGAAGATTTTGGAGGGAAGATTCAAGGTATACATTCCTGATATATCTTGATGACGATGGCAGATAGATACTAATATAAAAAAAAACAGAACAAAGATGCTTCTTATACATATGGTTGCTTGGAACCCACCATGTTGACCCAAATGGCAAAGTTTCTCGATACAGTCTATGTTTCTGGATGGCAATCATCGTCTACTGCATCTGCTTCTGATGAACCCGGTCCAGATCTCGCAGATTATCCATACGTAAGTCTACCTCCTTCCTTCTTCCCCTTCCAATTCACTAACATCTTCTAGACCACAGTTCCCAACAAAGTATCACATCTCTTCATGGCTCAACTCTTCCATGACCGCAAACAACGTGAAGAACGGGTAATGACTGCCTCGAAAGCCGATCGAGCTAAACTCCAAAACGTCGATTACCTTCGTCCCATCATCGCAGATGCTGATACTGGTCATGGTGGTCTCACAGCCGTTATGAAATTAACAAAATTATTCATAGAGAAGGGAGCTGCGGGTATTCACATTGAGGATCAAGCTCCTGGCACCAAAAAATGTGGACATATGGCTGGAAAGGTTCTCGTTCCCATTAGTGAACATATCAATCGTTTGGTTGCTATTCGTGCTCAGGCTGATATTATGGGTATGCCAACATCTATACTTTCTTTTGGAAGATGATGAATATAAATTAACATATCACACAGGTTCCGATCTCCTCGCCATCGCTCGTACAGATGCCGAAGCTGCTACTTTAATTACCACAACCATCGATCCCCGAGATCACGCTTACATTCTCGGCTCCACAAACCCCAATCTCCAACCTCTCAACGACCTAATGATAGCCGGTGAGCGTGCCGGTAAAACCGGTGCAGAACTCCAAGCTATCGAAGATACATGGACCGCCCAAGCCAACCTCAAACTCTTCAACGACGCCGTCGTCGCCACCATCAAATCCAACCCCAATGTCAAATCCGACGATCTCGTTTCCCGCTTCTTAGCCGAAGTCAAAGGAAAGAGCAACTCCGAAGCCAGAGCCCTCGCTAAAACCATCACCGGTGTCGACATCCACTGGGACTGGGACGCTCCCCGCACACGAGAAGGCTACTATCGACTCCAAGGCGGATGCGGGTGCGCCATAAACCGAGCCATTGCATACGCCCCCTACGCCGACGCCATCTGGATGGAATCCAAACTCCCAGACTACAAACAAGCTGAGGAATTCGCCTCGGGCGTGCACGCCGTGTATCCCGACCAGAAACTCGCTTACAATCTCTCTCCTTCCTTTAACTGGAAATCCGCCATGCCCAGAGCAGAACAGGAAACGTATATTCAGCGTCTTTCCAAATTAGGATATTGTTGGCAATTCATCACACTAGCCGGTTTACATACCACGGCGTTGATTAGTCATCGTTTCGCAGAGGCGTATAGTAAACAGGGCATGCGCGCCTATGGGGAGTTGGTGCAAGAACCGGAAATGGATCTTGGGGTCGATGTGGTGAAGCATCAGAAATGGTCCGGGGCGAATTACGCAGATGAGTTGTTGAAGATGGTGACGGGGGGTGTGAGCAGTACGAGTGCGATGGGGAAGGGGGTTACGGAGGATCAGTTTCATTAGGGGGTGAGAGGAGAGGAGAGGAGAGGAGTGAAGTAGGCTTTCTTTATTCATCTGGGATAGGACTGGAATTGAGTGGTCATTTATATGGGTTTCATAGGATAGGATAGGATGGATCACTCGTTGTAGGAAAATAATGCAGATTTGATACATTTGATACATTTGATACATCTGATTCCTCCCCTCAAATCTTTCTCGCCGTGAAAAGTACAATAACAGAATATACTTCCTAAGCCAATCTACACGTATTCATATACACAGCCATTACGAACAATATCTCACAACTCTCCCACACACTCCTCCCAGCACTCGCATGTCCTCCTCATACCCCCCGCTCACCGGTGCTAGAATACCCCGCGATCTAGTAAACTCCTTCCTCATACCTATCTATACCTTCCAATTAGAATTACAACTTTAGCATGATAATCACATGAAAACATAAAAACATAACCAAATACCTATGATTAATGTAATTATAATCCCATAGAGCTTTCCGATTACATTACATCAACTAACCTACCTATTGAACTTTCCGAAATACCTGGTATATATAAGGTGATGTTAACACAATATTCCCTCTGATCAGGTAGATAACCGTTTTAGTTTCCTTTTTGAACTATTTATATCTTGATATTACACTACCTATGATATCAGATGGAAAAGTTCTCGTGACATGACACCACGCCATATGATAATGCACTTCGATATGACGATTATATTACAACTTTACTTCCAATACCTATGAGTATATTAGCTTATCAAATCTCGTTACGATTTTCTACTGTGTACACACGGCAATCAATTATCCTTCAAAACGGAACGACAGACAAATTTAGTAAAGAAAAGATATTAACATCTGATTCACTATGTGCTCTCTACCTAACCCTAGATACCTCATTTTTGTTACGTAGCAACACTGCAATCGATTAATTATCATCCCATTTATTCCTTCCCACCACTCAAAAACATCTTCTTGAAATCCGCATTACTTTTTGGTTTCGCGTTAGTATCCGAACCTGTATCTGGTGCCGGCACCGGCGCTGAGGTTTTCCCGCCCGAAAATCCCAATCCTCTTTTTTGTCCCAATCCACCCCTTCCTCCACCCGGTCTTCTGATCGGTACACTGGGTTGCATGAAATTACTCGTGCTTGTCCCTGCTCCTGTTCCCGTACTCGCACCCGCTTTCTCCTTTTCCTTCTTTCCATTTTGTCCAACCACAATGCGATCACTTTTAACCTCACTCGACTGCGCGAAAAGATCTTTCATTCCTCCTGTTCTCAATCTGCGACCTGGTGCTATCTCGTGATTTTCGAGACCGAGAGATGCTTTACCTGCAGAATTGACATCCTCGAACTCGATGATTGCACCTTGATGGTCTGGACGAAGTACGACTTTGATAATGGTTCCAAATGGCTCTGCAATTGCACGGATTCTTGCATCATTCACCGTATCAGGGACATTAAGTAAGGTAATCGTTCGATTACCACCTTCTGATGGTTGATGTAAAACGTGTTGGTTCTTGTGAGGATTGCCTGCAATAGAAGCAGGAGACATCGCAATATCTCCATCAGCGTCTGGAGCTGGAGATGCTGAAGCCCCCTTTTCTCTACTAGTTGCGATAGGTTTGTAGTTTCTTGCTTGGGTCAATTCGACATGGAGAATGGAGGATTTCAACTTGGTTTTATCCAATTCAAGTGCGGCAGTAGCTTCGTCCTTTTTCTCAAAGACGATGAATCCTGCACCTTTGCTCTCCCCTTTGAATGTTCTCAAGATTCTGACAGATTCGACCTTTCCATACTTTCCAAACACCTCCTTCAAATCATCCTCTTTTAAGCTCGAATCGAGACTAGTTATGTGTAGCTCTCGACCCTCTGCGGTGGCACCCTCTCGTTGTTTTTTTGCAGCTGGGTCGGAATATTTTGCTACGAGTTTGAATTTGTTCTCGAGCAACTTTCCATCGAGCTGAGTGGCTGCTGAAGCAGCTTCAGCTTTACGGAAGGTAATGTAGCAAAATCGACGATGTGTGTTGAATTTGAGACTTGGCCATCGGATACTGAATATTTCACCACATTCTTTGAAAAGAGTATGCATATAACTTTCATCAGCAGTAGGTGGATAATTAGTGACATAAAGAGTCAAACCAGTACCAGACTCTACTTTGATTTGATTCTCACCAAAGAATTTTCCATCACGGAGGAAAGCCGATTGGACGTCGTCATTGGAACGGAATTCGATCAAACAGGTAGAGGAAAGCTTGTCCGCTTCGGCCTTGAGCGTCAAGCTATTAATGTGACCATATTCTTTGAAGTACTGTCTTACTTTGGTTTGGGTAACCTCGGGAGGTAGATTGGTGACTATTACGGTAGTATTCTCGCGATCCCTTGTCAAATGCTGTTGTCGTAAAGCCTCTGCATCAGCTGTCGATTGTTCATTTTTTGTCTTTTTGTGGGTATTACCATCAGTGGTATCTTCTGAGGTCGGCTCACGCTTCCTCTTCGAATTTCCAGGAGAATCCTCATCCGTTGCTTCTGGGCTAACGATTTGTTGCTGTTGCTGAGCATATAATTCTGCTTGCTCAATAGCTAACTTTTCCCTGCGCTTGGTAACTAGTTGAAATTGCCTACGGACTAGGTCTTTTGCTCCTAGTAAAGTATGTGCATCTTCGTAATTATTGCAATGTGAAATGTAAAGTTCCATGATCGCTTCCGGCCAGTCTAGATCTTTCGTACGTAAAGCTCGAGACAAGACCATGGAGGGTAAGTTGGATGATTTATTAAGATATCGGACTGTCATTTCCCATGAGTAATACTGTTGCCAAAAAACGTAACTCTTCTGATGAGTATTTACGAGTCTTTTCCAAAACTCACGAGCTTCCTCAATTGATCCTTTCTGAGTGAGGTACTGAATCATTATCCTTTCAATTTTAAACGAAGGATCCGTGTATTCTCTTTTGTGGAGCCTTCGACCCCAGTCCTGAACGGCCTCGAGTGAACCAGGCAGACCAGCGTCTGCTACATCAAAAGCCTCGTCCTCTAAAGGTTTATCGATCGTGTTACGCCTAAGATAGCCACACCAAGCCGTGTAGACCTCAATCACTTCATCCATTGTCCCGTCACGATCCAATACGCCAGTACTCGTCGCAGCATGCTTTATATCTTCAATCGAAGAAAAATCCAAGTTTTGCGTTTCAGCAAGAAGGATGTAACGCGCCCATAAGCTTCCCGACCAAGGGCAATGTGCGGTAGCTCGCTGAACAATGTAAAGGGGACTGCCTAACTGCGCATCTGGATTTACAACGTAGCTCTGTTGAACGAAAGCAATGTAATCTTCCCAAGTTCCGGAATCCCGGCCCAAAATTGTGGAAGCTAATGCGCGCTCGTAGAGGGCAATTGCGAGAATTTGGGGGCTTTGTGGTAAACCTTTTTTGGGCTTTGTCACTGTTTGAAAAGTCTCCCATTCCAGATATTCCCTCATTACAGATGCTATGTGTTCCTTATCACCAGCCGTAACAGCTTGCTGAAGCTTGAGCTCGTGCTGTTCACGTTGCTCATACAAATATCTTGCAGTGCTACCCATCTGTGTAACTTGCACCATCGTCGATTCATAAGAGGGCTCGTCATATTTCGTGAGAAATGTCGAGAACATCTGAGAAGTCTCGTCCCATTTAGCATGTGGTATTTGTAGGCGATCGAAGAATATTTTGCGGACGCGCTCTACTTGTTCACGAGTAGGAGACTTAGCAAGCAATTCCAGTTCAATAGTTATCCACCTATTCCATAGCTCATGGCTGTCGTTCAGACGAAATTGTGTAGCTGCGGTGCCTTCCTGCCAAAGGTCCTGCGCTGTTTGTAACGAGAATAGTTCCTGTCCGACGAGTCGCTCATCTTCTGGCCATCCTGCATCTGGATCCCGACAATCTGTGTATAATGACAAAACCCAGTCGCATCTTGCTAACCAAAGCGGGTTGCTCCAAGGTTCTGCGCTTATTGCGCGATCGTATAATTCGACAACTTTGATGCGCTGCTCCAGATCTCTCGCGTTTCTGCTAGCCTCATCTACGAGTGCTAACCACTCCTCTTCACCAACAGGTGATTGTTCCATTGTAAACAAAGTTTTCTCCAACTACTTCACTTTGGAAATCTCGTATCGATATCGGGAGGAAGCCCAAGAAGCATTTCGAGAATCTTCTTGAGATTTTGTTGTTGGAAGGTGATCAATAAATAGGGTGTTGTGTATTGACAACGAAAGTAGGCATTAATGCTGCGAAATACGATCCATCTCGAACATTTCAATCCCACCGGACCTTTGCCGCCGCTTAATAATTTTGGAACACGACAGCGGGACATGAGATCGCCGTTTACATTCAAGGTTCCGAATAAATAACATAAAATTCAAGTAAATAAATTGATCACATTTCCAATCATTTGGAAAGTCTACCTGTAAATTAATTGAAACTTGGAAAGTTCCTGATCAAGATAGCTCTTATAAGCTTCAACAAAAAATAATCTTGAATCCTGACTGTAGCGTGATTCTTAAAGCAGCCACATAAATTTGGCGAACTAAGAACTTCAATTATTTTGATATGATGGTCGAGCCATTGACAAGCAACACCACCCAGTCCACATAATGAGTTTGAATCTTCCTTCGCGGCGCCTGCTAAGGTCTGGTAAGTATAGGGCTATGTCTATATATTATCAATGCTGATCAGCTCGCAGCTGCACCTCTTACAATATCTCATCCACCCATCGCCTTCCTCGTCCCATTATACACCAATCAACGAAGATCACTATGGGACAATTTCTCAAAGCGTCTCGACAGTGCAAGGAGGATGTTCTCTCCGGATAAAGCCCCTAAGAACCCTTTGACAGAAGAATACCTCAAGAAGAAATCTGATGCGCAACGACAACAGGCCGAGCGGGGAGACCTGGCAAAATCGTCCATCTTTGAAGACGAAGATTCGAGAGGTAAAAGAGATGAGGAAAACAAAGTCATACCTAGAAACCCTGAAATAATGGCCAGATCACTCGATCCAAACCCCAATGCTACACTTCGATGGAAAAGGAAGATGGTCATACAGGATGTCAAAAAACGAGGACGTTTGACGAAGGATCAAACATTGAAGAGAACGGAAAGGGTGCTGTTGTCCAAGAGTCATGATTTCAAGACTTCAGTGAAAAAATTGGTCCCTTTGGCTAAGCAAATTGCGGGTAAGACAGTGGAAGATGCGATCATTCAGATGAGATTCTCGAAGAAGAAGGTTGCCAAGGATGTCAAAGAACATTTGGAGCATGCGAGGAACGAGGCCATCTTGAAGAGGGGTATGGGATTAGGAAAGGTTGAAAGAAAATCTACGGAAAATTTCAAGACGCGATATATCGTCACAAAGGATGGCAAGAGGGTCAAAGTGGAGGATCCGACTACATTATACGTTGATGAAGCTTGGTGTGGAAAGGGAGATTGGACTAGAAGTTATGATTTCAGAGCGAGAGGAAATGTTAACATTATGAAGAACAGGACAACGAGTAAGTTGAGTATCTTTTGTAGAAGTATTGTCATGGCTAACATTTCTAGGTATTTCGCTCGTATTGAAGGAAGAGAAAACTCGTATTAGACTGCATGAAGAACGAGAGGAGAAGTTAAAGAATAAGAAGGTCTGGGTTCAATTACCAAATAGACCTGTGACTGCCCAAAGGCAGTACTATTCATGGTAATTTTGATGTATAAATCACACCGAGCTGTATATTATAAGATTATCAAAGATCTCTTGGCAATGTCATTGAACTGCTGAATAAAGATTGCTAGTCATTAAAAAGATTGGGCAGTAGCGCCGTCAAATTATAAATACAGTTTTGCTACAACGCATTGTCATTCATTCATATGCTCGTGAATATCATTGAATTCTAACCCTGTCCCATGCTTAAGCACTGGAGAGTAACTGTTCTTCTTCATCTCCGGGACTATTCGCAGCACTCGTAGTCTTTCTCTCACCGTATCTCGTTCTCCACCCTTCCCAAGCATTCCACAACCTAGAAGATTGATTAAAACCATGACACAGCATACCAGCTAAAAACCCAACCCCGTCGTTCTTGAATGCGAGCAGAAACCCAATGGTCATGAACATTACTGTCCATCTTTCCTTCCTTTCCTCGTCTGAAAGTTGCCTATGGCGTTTTATCGTTTGTGGTTGAGCAGAATCTGATCCAACACTCGATTCCGATATATCCCACAGGTCTCGAGCTCCGTAATTAAGACTTTCTCCTACCTTTGCCAATTCTAGACCAGCTGCTACGACCATGATTCCAAGCAAACTCTTTGGATATTGTCTTAGTAGGCCCACAAGCGTCTCACCGAAAAACAATCCCAAGATCATCTTAAAGGCACCAAGGATGATTATACTTGCACCACTTCTGGCTCCGAATCTATACTGGGCAGCGAGCCCTCCTGAACCATGGCAAACAGGCATAGCACCAAACCAGCCACCGATGAGATTCATTAGTGCGACACTGACACCAATCGAAGTAACGCCTGGGGCTGGAATGCTTGGTAAGAGATCAGATGCCAAGAAGTTGACAGCGATAATGGAGTTCAAGGTTGTGAGGGGAATTTGTCCTAAACCAGCGTCGAGCGCCCCGACTTTGAACGAAGTTGCGGACGGAACATAAATTTGAGGGCGCCATAATTTAAATGAAGGTAGGTAACTAAAGCCCGTGATATACAATGACAACACAAGTCCAAGAACGAAAATAGCTAGGGCATACGGTAGCTTTGGAATCCTCTGCGTAATTAGCAGAGCGATGAATGCGACAAGTGCCCAAATCAAGTTGTCGGCAGCATTCGGAGTCGTCCAACCCAAAGGTTGAAGAAGACTTGAGCCAGCGGATAGGATCAGGGACAAGCCGGCTCCCACTTGAATACCTGGAAACATACTCAATACAGAATCTTTGTTGAATCAGAAATTGCTTCAGCAAAAAGGCTTACCTTTGACTACGGGTGTAGGTATCATACGCGTGAACCATCGAAGAAGTCCTGTAGCGCTTAAGATTAACACCACGCCGGCTACGGTATAACCAGCAGAAACCGTTTCTTCAATCGAAAAGTTCCTTGAGATGGCTACAGCAGCAATAGCCTAGAGAATGGTTAGCTAGGACTATGGCTAGTCACAAGAGAAATTACCTTCATAGGCTGTACTGGTAGAGGTATACCAAAAGCAACACCGGTCAATATATTCCACATGCCTGAAAAGAATAGAGTTGTTGAGAGAGATATTGAATTATTAATCGCCAGAGCAATCATCAGTGGTAGCAGAGTTCCTAAATCACCAAATGCACCTGATATCTCCGCTAAAGGAGAATCTCTCAGCGCGGCCACATTGTTCTGAGATCTAGCTTTCAACCGCTGGAGATATGTAGTTGTCATATTTTGTTGTAGCCCAATATCAAGTTAGATATGTGGGATGCAGTCTTGCAGTGAGGGGGAAATTGATGGCTTCGTGATGCCTTTATGTTGGTTTTCTTTCAGTATTTCATCTAGAAATACAACGACCGTGTATATGTGACAGATGTTAAACACAAATCTTCGTCGAACAAGACAAAAGTAAACAAGGTATCAATATATAAAAACTGGAGACAGTTCACGGTATCTTCGATATCTCGGGCTTACGAATTTCTACATGGTCATGAGGAACTGATCTGATCGGAAATAGAAGTGACAAGTCGGATATCATAATACGTGGGGCAGGTGCGGTTATCAATGTGGGTCGTGATATTTCAGCCACACCTCCACGCGCACTTAAACTTTATGCTTGCTTGTCGCGTACACGTCTTTTTGGAACGCGTTTCTAATATCGGAGCACAAAACTCTCCAACCCTCAAACACTTCTTCTCCTTGCACTTACAGTTAACTATTTTACAACTACAAACAATGATTTGATGATTCTTCTTTTATGATTACGCTCAACTTTACATACGACTGTGTTAATTTTTCTCAGTCATAAATACATTATAATTAATTACAATGGCTTCATCACGAGAATCTTCGCCTGGAGCGTCTACTTCTCCAATGGAGTTGACGCCCAATTCAAAAATCAGAGCTGCTATGGCGGCTGCAGGAATTAGTGAATCTGATGAGGAGAGCGTCTCTGGAATTGCAAGGAAAAGAATAGCTTCACAGAAACCAAAGTCGGATATATTTAATGCAAACTCTCAGCCAACGGCACTGGGCGGGACGAAAGGTTCAATCGATGTCGGGAGCCGGTCCTCTTCAGACGAAGAAGAAATAGCAAGGCCAAGGGGTCGAATGGCTGCGCGGATGCAAGCTGCATTGGACGGATCAGACGACGATCAGCTCGTGGCGAATAATCCGAGGGAAAGAGTCAGGAGACTCATGAAGAACAAACCAAGGCCAGAGTCACCGAAGGTTGCAGATGATGAAAGCCATGCCGATGAAAGTGATATACCAGTGGTTTCGCGAAGACGTAAGATGGGAAGCTCACCTCGCCAGACACCCGTCAAATCAACCCCTCGACAAGAATCCGCTTCTCCTGGACTTTTTGTTACACCCAGTGCTGGCAGATCGGCCACGCCACAGGCCGATGCTTCCGATTCAGATAGCCTGCAAATGGACTCGATATCGAAATCAAATAAAACTTTCCAGGACTTGGTTGCCAGGAAACGCCAAGAACGGCACGCAAAAGAAGCGGAAGATAGAAAGAAGAAGGCTGCGAAAGCTGAAGAAAGGAAACGACAGACCGCATTGATCGAAGACGACAATCAGGTTGACAGCGAGGATGAAGGAGGACAACGACTTACACAGCAGAATCGTCCCACCCGGAAGGCGAGCAAGAGAGCTATCGAGGAGATGCACAGAGAGACTCAGCGATTGTCGAGGAACATGCAATTGGCTCATAAAGCTACAAACAAGAAGAAGATCACGAAGCAGAGCTTGTTTGCTAAATTTGGCTACAGACAAACTGAGGAGACAAATACTGTTTCTTCTGACCCTGCTAGACCCACAAGTTCAAGTCCTCCGCCCGCACCACAATCAGACATTGAGATGCAAGAAACGCCACCTACATCTCCACCAGATGATGTGGACACCAATGATAAACGAGAGCCCACCGGACCTTCTTTGGTAACAAGCACAGCCATGGATGTGGTAGGTGAAGAGGACTTGCCTACCCTTGAGGAAGCTCTGAGATCGTCACCACCTTCCAGGAGAGACAAGGGCAAAGGAAAGGCTGTCGATACAGAATTGATCGAAGCCTTATCTGAGAAGAAGCCTGTCTTCAAACAGCGACCAATTCAGGTACGGCCAGCGAAAGTTAGTACTGGTGACTTGGAGCTTGATTCGGATAGTGATCTCGAGATCGTGGAACCAAAGAAATCTGCTCGCAATGCAAAATTAGATGCGATTTTCAAGCGCATTCCGGAGAAACAAGCCAAGGAACCTCATTCGATGGTGGCTTTACGAATGCTTGCACACCTCAGATCGCCTGGAAAGCAAAATTCCGGAAGAAATCAAAAGCCATCGATTACAGCCCAAGATCTACAAATCAGTCTTCAATTGAAGGCAAGGCAACAAGCACACCGAGAAAGAGAGGAGCGACTCCAGGCCCTTAGAGATCGAGGAATCATTGTACAGACTGCCGAGGAGCGAGAAAAGGAAATGGCAGAGGTTGATGACTTACTCGCTAAGGCTCGCCGTGAAGGAGAAGAGATCCAGGCAAGGGAAAAGGCAGCTGCTAAGAGAGAGCGTAAAGCCAATGGTGAAGTAGACTCACTGGGTGATAGCAGCGACGATGAGGACTGGCAAGAGACGAATGACATACCAGAAGAGGAAGAAGTTTCCGGCTCAGAAGACAACGAGCACGAGGACTCCGAGAATGATGAAAGTGGTGAAGACGAGGATGAGGAAGTTGAGGAAGAAGAGGCAACTGACCACCCCGTACCTAATCCCTTATTCGACAATGAGGCAGAGGAAGATGAAGAATCTGAAATTGATCTTTCGATTCCGGATAATCCAGTTAACCTCATGGATGCCGAGGACGAAGAAGAAACTCTACCTGTCCATCGCCGGTCCAGAAAATCGAGAGTCACGAACATTATCTCCGACGACGAGGAAGAAGAGGATCTTCTCACAAAGACACCCAAACCTCCCAGAACTCTATCTTTATCGCAGCCGCGAACAGACTCACCGGTGATCCCAACTTCAGTTCTTCGTTCAGCAACCAAAACATTCATACCTGGTTTACCCATAACAGGCCCCGCTGGACTCGGTCTTACACAGATATTCCAGGGTACAATGGATGATAGTCAAGATGTATTTGAATCATCAAATTCAGAGTCACAAATCTTAGACGTAAAAGAACACTCCATGGATTTCCTTCGCCGAAGAGCTATGCCTGAGCTGCCCGATTTTGTTCCCACCATGATCGACGAAGAGACACAAGATATGGTAATGGATAGTCAAACACAAATACCAGCATCACAACCAGTAGACAATGAAGCCCAGGGAATCCAGGTTTCATTTTCGCAATCGCAAATACATGATTTTGACAGTTTAGTCGAGAACCCATTATCAACTCAAGTTTCCGAATTTCCTAATACACAGGATGAAGGATTCTCGATGATCACACCCATTAAATCTCGATTTATGGATCCACCTTCGACCGCAGGCACATTCAAAATGGGATCACAGTCTACTCAAATGATTGGTGATAATATCCAAGAAACGCCTATTGCGAAGAGGAAAGGAAAGCTTCGCAGAAGGGCCCGAGCTTTCTCTGTGTCCGATGAGGATGAATCATTACATGTTGACCGAGAGAATAACAATCAAAATGATGACTTTGAAATTACCGCCGACGCTTTTGATGTCATGCGTAAAGCCGCAAAAAGAAGACCAAAGGTTGAAGAATTCGATAAGAAAAAGAGTAATGCTAAGAACATGGTCAATGAACAAGCCGAGGAATCAGAAGATGAGTATGCTGGTCTGGGTGGTGCCAGTGACGATGAAAGCGGAGGGGAAGAGGATGCTTTTGTTAAAGAAATGATAGATGATGAAAAGAAAGATATTGACGAGAGCGAACTTGCCAAATTCTATGCGTAAGTTGATTAAATCTAAACTCGTGTATTATTGCTAATCATTTTAGTGACCGCGAGAGAGCAAGTGACGAGAAGCAAATAGAGAAGCTCTACAACGATATCTCCAAGGGCATGCTTCGCCGTAAACGAGGTGCTGATTATGATCTTTCGGACTCAGACGATGGTGGAGAGGCACGCCAGCGTCGAAAACGCGCAGCAGAAGCCAAGATGCGCAAAGCTTTACTTGCAGACGAAAAGATTGGAAAGATCGCACAGAATCCCAAAAAAGAAGCTTTTCTTCGTGCAATCGAGGATCGAGGGAGTGACGATGAGATGGGATTTCTGGATGACTTTCAAGAAAAAGACGATACTTCTGACTCACAATCTCAAACTCAGAATGACGAATCTCAGCAACCGGCACCTAGCCAGACTGGAGTAGTCATGGGCCCTCCGTCAAAACGTAAGCATTCTGATAGCACTGGTTATGTTCGACCGCCACCACACTTGCGACGTACAGGGAAGAAGCCCTCGAATCTATCAGAAGTTCGAGAATCACTGTCAAGTCTTATCGAAGATCCTCATGCTATGGTTACTTCAACAAATTTTGAATCTGATTCAGATGATGATCTAGAAATTGAAGGAGGCCCAGAGCAAGGAACTCAAAAGAATCGTGATCCTTTCGCCATACGCAGAACTGGAACCTCCATCATCGACAGAATACAACTTAAACGCGAATCTTCGAGTAATGTTGCTGCCAACAATGAACGTCTAGCATTCGCAGCACCCTCATCGCAACCAGGCCATAGGGTAGTACCTCTATTGAGAAAAGCCACAACAAATAGCAGTATTCTATCTGGGACATCAAGCACTGGTGTAAGTATTGGTATGTCAGCAACAGAGCGAATGGCTGGTGGGAAGGACGAAGGATCAGGTATCAGGAGAGGAGGAGGCAAGCATAGTGGAGTGAACTCTTTTGTAAGGGAAAGTGAACGGAAAGCTGTGATGGAGAAGAAGGAGAAGAGAAGAGAGCAAAGGAAATTTAAGGGAGTGGAAAGTAGGCGCAAGGCCGTTGGTGGTTTGTTTGGAAAAGGTACATTCGAATAAGAGTATTCTGCATTGGGTCAGACTGGATTGTCTATGTCTGGATTAGCATTAGGTGTTTTTGGTGTAACCAAATTGGCAGGAGCCATAGGACTTTCGAGATTCGATGTTGAATTATTGATGATGTTAATGCCAAGATTTTATATCCTGATCTTTTCTGCCATGTGATATTGTGGGTTGCTGCACCCCCCACGAATTTTTGTTTTTTGAACGAACGAGCAAGCTTCAAACTGTAGTTTGCAATACTATACTTACATCAAAGTTCGTAATGAGCCATCACACAGCATGAGAGTCGTTTAAGGGCGGTGTTGCAATCAAAAATGTGCAAATCAAACCAGAACGATGGATATAGTCTCATGCCATATATCAGCCCATATATAGCAGTGTTCGCGTCAACCTTCAACAATATAACTTAATCATCTCCTTTGCATCACAGCCCATTGTATCCTTCCAAGATCATCCCAACAAACAATTGCAAGCCTGAGCACGCGATCAAACGCCACATCAACTAAGTGATACCAATCGTTCTTCATTCGGTTCACCGTCCATATCTCATCTCAAATATTCGTAGAATTAGCATAAAGTTACCACATAGAAATTCCCAAGACGTACACACTTCCCCTGCATACAAAGTACATGCCATCATGAAGTGGATTTTCCTTCCAATCTTATCTTCTCAAACCCACAATAAGTGACCGGATAATAATGTGTAACATGGACGAGTCTGAATTTTCTTGCATATCCGATTGCTGGAATGAGAAACCATGTTGCGGCCGGCTGAAGTGGGCTGAAAGTAAGGAACGTGGGACTCGGTGGAAGAGCCGGAGTGGAGGAAAAGTAAAGTCTATCACGAAATAAAATCCACTTCTTTTTTATCAGATCCTTTTTGATCTGATAAAGAAAGGGGTGGAGACCCATTGACTAAGACGCTAGAGACCGAGAAACGGACGAGGGACGAGGGAAATACTTGTTATATTGTCGGTCGGAACTGCTTATCACTTTATGAAGTTCCTTTTTATTGTCTGCTTACTCGAGTCTTAGGTTATGTTTCACTTTGAGTCAACAAAAGGAGAAGAACAATCCAATTGTTGAAAAATTAAGTCTTCTTACAAGTTTCTTGTGTGTAGTTGAAATAAGAAACAATCACACGTCAACATCTGATTGTTGTTCATTCATATCCATTTCCTTATCCTTATCGTCATCACTATCGTCATCATTCATACCATTCCTACCACAACAACTATTGTCTCCTCTTCCTACGCAACACACTTCAAATACGAAAATGGTAGTATTTATCGATTTCGAAGATGATTCTGAACCTCCAGAGCAAGTGGGAAATGAATTGAGCCCTTTGCAGAATGGAACAAATGGATTTCAAAAGCCTGTTTGGGGCGGATTTGGGGAGGCGAACAAGGGAGCAAATGCACTTGGATTGACGTTGGATCAAGACGACAGGGTGAATCCAAATAAAAATGTCATCACAGAGGCATTGGGCTGTTATCCGTTAGTTCTTATTTATCATTAGCTATATTCACTCGTGAATCACGCAATCAGGAAGAGGCTAATATTCTCGCAGTATCATATCTGCCATAGCATCTAATATCGACCTCAACACTCTCGATGCACTCTCTCATACATGCCGTCAAGTTCGAGTCAATCTCCTTCAATTTCGCTCCAAGCTTCTCACATCCACCCTTCACTGCGAAAACGAGGATGTAGAGCTCGATCCCGAACATACGTTTCGTTATCGAGCGCGAGCCGCAGATTACTATTTTGTTGAAAGCGGACGCGATGCACACGGTAGTGGAAAGGTGGGCGATTGTGCAAGAGATCTGGTGGGAGAGTGTCGCAAGTGCGGAAGGGTGGTTTGTAGGGTATGTGTTATTAAAGGATACTGGGATCTGTATAGGCGCTGTGTCCACATATTATAGAGGCTAATTCTGTGCAAACAGAACTGCACTATTAAACCACCTGGCCCCGTTCTCTTACGTCACCGTCATCGACGCATGTGTAAAACATGCTCGAAGGCTCCTATTTCTTCTTTGGTCGCTGGCTCTTCATCATCATGTTTCCTCTCTTCTTCCTCAAATACACATGATCATACCCTCTCATTATCCCCTGAAACAATCAAAGGTTCTCTCTGCAGTTGTCCGACAGCTGTCTGGCTCTGTCAACCCTGCGGACGCTCCCTCCGGTCCACCGATCAAGAATACGAAGGCATCTGGAAATGGCATACACGCTGCCTTCCATCCCTAGGTGGTCTTGGCGTTGGTATCAGTGAAGGAAACCGTGGTGTTCCCTGCGGTCTTGGTAGTACTTGTCTAGCTGCCATAGAAGTAGAACAAGAAACCGACTGTGACGCCGAAGATGCGCGTGAATTCGAAGAAAGTAGTCGAGCCGGGTCTCCAGCGTCTAGTCCTGGAGGAAGCATATTCGGAGGCACGAGTCCAAATAGCAGTGAGAGGAATTTAAGTCTAGGGCCTGGATATGCAAGACATGAGATTGAGGGGATTGGAGGGGTCATGAAGAAGAAGAGGGTTAAGATGGTGAAGGTAGGGGCTTGTGTGCCAGAATTTGGTGATGAGAAAAGTGAGGGGAGATATTTGGTTAGGGAGATGGAGGGGAGGGCAAGGAGTTGGTGTGGATGGTGTCATAGGGTTGTTAAGGGGAGTGATGATGTCGTCTAATGAGCTAAGCTAGCGAAGTGGTGGATTGAGTGGAAGGGGCAGAGTGTAGGAATGAAGGGCTGCAATGAGTATCGAGAAGAAAAAAATTAAGGATACTGATAAGTCTGGTAGTAATGTAGATAGAGGCATGAAAGCATACCAGACAACTTGCACGAAAAGTGGGAGTTAGGATACCTGAGTATATACACATGGGCGATGATGAAATGCAAGCATTGGGGGACGAGGCGTTTACCTATTGAATTAATAACGCTTTTATTCTTCATCTTTCTATTTCAAACCCATGATCTCATTTCTCAATTAATAAGCTAGATTGGTGAAACTCATTACTTAAGATAGGTGCAGAATACCAATACGCATTCAAGGCCAATTGTACATCGTGCAAAAGAGAGATGTAGTTTACATTCCTGGATCATCGAGCTTACACAGTACACATTTTCTCCTCGTTTTCTGCTTGGTTTCTACTGGGGCTTAGAGGTAAATGAGATAATGAAGTGACGATATAATAGTCAAAGAATAGCGTAAACTCATTTTTCTCGCCTAACTTTCTTCTCCCTTACATCACTCAATAATAATACCACTTTCAATATTCACATACCAAATCACGTTACTGGGGCCCCTCTTCACAAGTTTACCTTTTTGTTGCATATCTGCTTTAGGGTCTTGAGCCTGGAGAGGCCTGGAGAAGCCCAGAGTTTATTAACTAGTGGCTTTGGAGTTGTGGGTATTGTATATACGTACTAGGTACTAGGTCGTTATGTCTGTCGTTTTTATGTTCCTTAGTACGTTCACTTCGTTGATGCTGGTTTAGAGGAGGTATCTAGAATCCTTTGAGAAGTGGGTGTTATATAGATGCTTGAGGGTTTGAAGTCTGAGAGCGCTTTGTAGCTAGTATTAAGTGGTCGGAGTTCGTATGGAGTGTATATGGTAGATTAGAAGTGGATAGTTAGTTGGTATGTGATGTACGTATATTCAACTCTTCGATTTTCCTTTTCTCGCTCATTAGAGGAATTCTGAAATACCATTTCTACTTCACTTTTGTTCTTTCTTCATCACGTCTTTTCTGGAGATCGGTTGGATTTGAGTGATCTGTTTCATGATTTGACTTGACTTGGATGACTTGAGAGTCTATTCACTTCAAATTGAGGAGATTTTTGAAGTTTTGCAAACAGGAAAACACGGCATTGGGATTCTTTGGATGTCAACGAAGATCACTATGCACGCCTTCTTGGGACTATACAGTAAGTGAGAGGAGCACCGTAGCAAGATCGGAGAAATGGAGCTAGATAACATCAAATCTATGTCAGGAAATATTCATCATCACTGTGCGAATAGCTCACAAATACACGACATCTAAGAAGAAGCCATTACCATCACCTTTGAGTGTATCACTCTATCTTTTCTCCAAAAATAAGACAAATCCCCTACATCTCTCCTCTCTCCTATCTCCCAATTGAAATCTATCCATCTATCATTTCATCTTTTCCATCTCCTCACCATTATAGTCTCTTCTCCAGCCCACTAAACAACACTTCCCGGCTCCAACGCCGGCTCATCCTTCTTTCTCTTAATCTTCTCTACAAACCCCTCGTCAAAACTCTTCATTTCTCTCGCATGTGTACTTTTTACCCTTCTCAGCGACCAGAAATTATAGAAAACAAACAGAATACCCGTTATGCACGCAATGGTGGCGGTAACTATTGCAGTGACCCTGTGTACAGATGGCGAGTAAGTAAATGTATATAGCAATATAAAGACACGATTTAGGGAAAATAAAGACATAGTTCAGGGAGATTTTTTTTTTTCAAATTGCTCTCCCTGCCCACGCAGCAAAATCAGCATTCTTATTAAAGAAGACTTCCCACCCACCTAGCAGTAATACTCCACGCTCCCTTCTGCTGACCATAAACCCCCACCAGCGTCCCCACAAACCCCGCAACACTGTTTAGACAACCTGGCAAGAATATTTTATTCAAAAGCCACACGTAGTTTCGTCGATGTGTATGCCACAGCCATAGCATACCCATTGCACCAATACCACAGCTGAAACTTGCGATCCAGAGAAGAGGAATATTTTTCGCTGCGTGGAGAATATGTTGGGTGGTTGCATCTGGGAGATCGGAGGGAAGGGACGAAGAGGGAAGAGATTGGAGTGATGTGAATGTGCCGGGGAAGATTATGAAACCGGCCAGGAGGATCCCTCGAGAATGTTAGAGTGAGTGGAATAATGATTGAGAAATTCGAGATTCGAGAGGTAAGATGACTTACAACTAAAGAATGATATGTATATGTTGTGCATACGGGGAATGGTGTCAAGAGAAAGAAGCATATTCATATATCTCGTTTGCACACTATTTTGTCTATTTAAGCCATCTGGTCTCGCAGATTTCAAAGTCGAACTTCCTGTAACAGTTGAAGAATTTGATTTCTTCGACCCATGACGGAAAGGTTGATGAAAGGTAGATTGAGGGATTGTTTGGGCTTTGGATGGTTTTTGCGAAGTGACTTGCGATCGCGTTTTTGTTGTGCTGCTACGATTAGGTCTTCCATCGCCGGTGTAGGTACTTTTGGGTGGGTCTATTGGAAGGATGTCTGATCGAGGCATTTTGGATAGTATTTTTTGCAGTGGAGTCCAATGTCTTAGTTTGAAGTGAACTTCATGTCAGGGGAAAGTGGACGTTTATGATTCAAGCTAGATAACATGTGAATCATTTGTAAAAAAACAAAAAGTTATGGCACAGTTTTGTGAATTGGGAATATCATATCATGTTTTGGACGAGATGAATCAAGGTATCGATCGGTTTTCCAATTGAAAACTATACTACCATGCCACATAGAAAAGTTGCCACGCAAATTATAGCTTTATCTTGACACCGTTCGGAGAGAACTTCTGGTATTGTATTGAATCAATGCTGATCACAGTACCCGATAGGAGGTTATTCGTAAATGGTTTGGTATCATGGGAGTGGGGTCAAAATCAAGATTTACCCCTGGCGCTCGCAAATGCGTGATGACGTGAATTTGGTTTTGCGAGGAGAATAGACGAAGTCCTTTTCAAATTTGAGAAAACTACTCAAGATAGTATTGCAAGCAGAGAAAAACATAATTGTAATCCTCATCTGAAAATGTGCACAGTAGCTTATGTGATAGGTTCAATTATTGAGTCTTTCAAATATAGAATGGACAAGGAAGCTTTTCCTGACATTTCCGGTATTTCCCTACCAACGCCAACGCTATGCAAAAAAAGACAATTCCTCATTAGACTTCCTATTTTACCCCAGCCACAAGCAAATCTAGCATACCCTTGACTTGCATAGCCTTTTGTGACCTTTCTACTTCTGCCCTCACACGTCTATGTAAGAACCTGATTTGGCGTTCTAATTCTGGAGATTCAGAGGTGTACTCTGCGTATATGTCCAAAAGCAGCATAGCAGCATCAGTACATATTGGGACATATCGAGGATCGGTGATATGTTTTGATACCCATTTGAAAATTGGTTGTATCGTAGTCTCGTCACGCTTTTCGAATGCTGCTCGCATGGCACTTCTATGTCGAAGAGCTGTGAGAAGTGTGAGAACAGTGACTGCCGGAAGACCTTTCTGGAGTACACAATCTAGGGCTTGATGATATCGACCGAGTTGGAGTTCGCGCTCCCATTCTGGGGCCTTTCGCTTTGTTGAACGCGCATTACCCTCGATCACCACATCTGCTCCTTCTCCCATGAAATCCATTCCTCTGAGTCTCTTTTCTACTCCGCTAGTGTGTTTTCTCTTCTTGTTCTTCTTATCGTATTCCTCTAATGTACCGTCGAGCAAGGCTTGCATCTCTTTCGCTCTTTCTCTTTCTTTCACCTTTTGCTGGCCTGATAGTCGTGTTTTGATGGATAAGACACCAGACTGCATACCTACAACCAAATGCTTGTCCTCGCGATTGGCACCAGAGCTAACAACATTGACCGACAAAACAGGAGCTGAGTATTTAAGTCCAGTTACGACATTCCATCCTGTGGTTTCGAAAACCTTGACATGGCCATCCAAGCCACCACTAACCAGTCTAGTAGCATTTGATGCGAGGCACAATGAAGTGACAGTCTTCTGATGGTTCTTGATGATGTGCAATGGCTTTCCAGCAACCAAATCAAGGACAGAGATTTGGTTATCAGCTGCAGCAAGAACGGTTGTTCCTGAAGGCATGGGAAGTACAGTCTCAATTGGTGCAGCATGCTTAAAGGTCATGGCTGCTCTGGCTGGAACTCTAGGATCCCATAATCTGACAGTCTCATCGTAACTACCAGTCAAGATCATATTCGACATCGATCCAGGCATGAAAGCACCACTTCTAACATAATCGGTATGTCCAGTGAAAGTAGTTGTACTTTCTTGACTTGGCAGATCCCATAGCTTAACAGTTCTATCGTCACTAGCACTCATGAGAGTTGTCAATTCTGTTGGCGAAAACTTTGTGGTCCAAACTGGCTGCTTGTGTTCTTCCCAAGTTTTTAAGATAGCTCTTGAATTCACGTCAAAAACCTGTATCTTTCCCGTTTCATCACCTGCCACCATAACACGTCCATCTCGTCGAATCTCTCCACTATGCGCAACATCTGAGAACCGAGTAATAGTCTTTACTAATTTTCGTGTGCGAATTGAGTAGATCTGAAGTCGAGTACCAGTAGTAACACAGAAGTAATCATTGCCGGAGGGTGATAGAGCGTTTGTTGGTGGAGGAGGGAACGATATGTGCGTAATGGGATAATTCGTTGGTGATGGTATGAGTTGCTGGGAGCGAAAGCCCTTCCAATATCGTTGTTCAGGTGTAATTGGCGAGGGGGCAGTAGGGAGTTTAACCGCCGGTAGACCTGTCACTGGTGCGGACATCTTGATTACTTATGAAGAGAGAGGTAAAATTAAGATGTCGCAGAAAGAATTTAATATTTCAGCTTGAGAAAGCTTGCGATGCGATTCGCAAAAAAAAAAGTTAAGGACGGGATCTGGGTTATTTTTCCCGACAATCCACTAGGCCATTTAAAGTTAGCCAAGGCTATACCTGCCATTATTGGAGTTCAGATCTTTTCATCAGCACTATTTCATTTGGCCCATTCATGATGTCTGAGTTCGAATTTGGTAAAATATACACAGTACTTGATATTTTGTTACATTACTCTCAATGGCAGAACCCCCTTTGTCTCAAATTCTCTCATGTACTTTCCCCAGTCTTGGTAGTTGGCACTAGTAGTGCTTTAGAGTGGTGCATCCCTAGGTAGCTAGACAGTGATAGGGCTACAGTTTTATATCTTGTTGAAACTCACAAGGACAGTGTTGAGGTAGTTGATCTCAAATCACTTCGTATCTACAAGTGTGGCTCGCATCTACCTTTCCATATCTCTCCTGTTGACCCTTGAATCATTTACCACTGTTATCTATCATTAAGTTCAACACATTCTGTTGTTCATATAACCACAAGTCACAAATTACATCCAAAGTCTACAGAAGCGTGAGAAGGTACTCTGTGACTTTACTCTCGCAAAATCCAGTCTGTGTTGAGAGGGTGAGACACACTTTTGCTGATAAGCACTTGTATTTCAATGTCTCCCATGTCTTTGATTAAACTGCTCTAAGAAGTTAATTGACAAATCAAGTGGTACATCAATGTTGAAACTAATGCTTACTTGTCTTCTCTCTGAATATACTCTACTCTATTCTCATCTCTTGTCCTGCTCAATACTATTTGTATTCCAGTCTTGAAAACAAACCATATATGATCTATCTTGTCAAGGATATGAGAAGTGATCTCCCATGACAGGATTCAATAATGACAGCCCCAAAATCGATGAACATGCAAAACTCAATTGCTCTCCTAGACTACACGTGTATTGCTACACAGCATGTCATCAAAATGGGACCAGCTAGGTGAGAAGCTGTGGGTAGTTTAATTCACACTTCTGTGATAATACAACTTCAGAAATCTGTCCGCCAAATTTACAAACGCGTTTTCTGTTGGATCTTGACATCACTACAAGAATTGAAAGCACCAAGATCAATCTGCCCAAAGAGTAGGCTATAGCAGTTATGTTCCAGAAAGAAAACCTTCGTCCATAACTCGAGTCTTACGATACAACCGTATTTATTGTCATTATTATTCAATGAAAAATCAGGGAAAATGAAAACCCCAATGTCTTTTGCTCTACAGAAAAGGAAGACGTCCCTCCGAAAAGAGTGAACCAACCTTCCTAAATCTTCTTTGCGCAACATCCTATCTCTTAAACCTGTTACTAAATTCTACCCCAGCTTCATTCCTGCAACCCCAAACGCCAAATCCAATTATCCTGCGCCATAAGGTAAATCGACCATCTCAAGATCAACCACAAAGCCATGACTATAGTGAACCAAAGTGGATCAGTAGGTATGTCTGTGCTCCATGATGCGATTTCAAGACTTTCGGGCTGTACTGGGGATTGATTATAAATCGTGGGAGCATTCTTTTTCGCTTGTATAAAATTATCAAAGGCAAAAATCGTCAAAGGATTGATCTAGCCATTCTTCGAAGTTTGATGTTGCTCTCCGAGTGAGTGTTTGTATCTCAGCGGGATCGAACATTATCTTGACGAGTATCACTTCCACCTCCCAGATAACTATCAGATGCCGCGACAGCTCTCCCTCCCTCAAGAACCGCGCCCTGTCCTTTCTTACACCGCTATTGATGGTCCATCTTTTTGTCTCGCTATATTGATCAAGGAAGTCATCCCAATCGCCAATAAGACGCATGCGACAATAGCCAAGACGATGATGTTAGACATGCTGTAAATGATCTCGCTCTGTGTACAAGAAGGGCTCGAGGTAGAATGGCAGTAGGAAGACTATTATGCGAAGGTTGAATGAAGTCTTGTTGTTACAGACTTATTTAGACGATGGATGTAGTAGAGACTGACAAGGACAGTGAACAGTGAATTTTATTTGCAAAAATGAACGAAGGCAAAGAAGGCGAAATTGCGATGTGAAGAGAATGCAAGAGATACTGTTGACGAAAAGAAGAAAGTAACAGAAAATATACGGATACTTCCACCTTTATATATCTGTTAAATTTTCCCTGTTTGCGCACATTACAACTTCGTTATTGGGGCATTCTCATTCTCCTTGTAAATGATCAAATCCGTATAGGGTAAGTTAACTAAGGCATTCATCCAGTGTACGTACTAGTTTACATGGAACATGGACCTTTATGACAGAATTAGAAAGATATAACGCCTACTTACCGTACAATCGTCTTACTCGTATCAGCATCGAAAGCTACCTGGATCGAAGTCTTTGAAATTAACATATCGCTCCCCGGATTTAAGGAAGTTATCCATTCCAATCAGATTCTGGCCTCGTATATATTTGTCTACCATTCGTTGAATATTATGTTTACGCGAATACGCATAACTGCAAGTTGCCATTAATTAGCTAGATCCCAAATGAAATCAATTAATCAAGGTTACTCCAGCAGTTAACTTCGAGTATGCTAGTATCCAAGGGCCAGTCAGCTATCAAAATCCGGCTCGAGCCAAAACCCCCCTGGCAGTAGAGCTACCGACCGTTGGTATTTTAGGAATTGAATTCCCCACTTCATTCAAACGAACCAATCGTATTACACTGTGTACGGTTCACGAAATATTGTCGCAACAGGATTACACGGATGGAATTGACGGAATTGACTACCAATCATCTCCAATCGACTATAATCTTCTTTGCTTCAGTCAAAGAATCATGTAAGGGCATCGTAATAAGACGCTACAAATATTAACACCATTTACAAGCTTAGCGAAATCTAATACAACAATGAATTGCCAAGGTCTATACTTACAGTTGCTGGGAATAAAGTTATATCCACTGCGAAGCTTCGAAACTATGAAATTTGTCTTAAAAGTTAGGGCTTATCTTTCTGCCTCGTCTCGTAAGGACCCTGTCAGTGCAAGCGGGGTTTGTATCTAAAAGCGAATCATCTTAATTCGGTTTAGCGTTTAGATGTCTGAGGTTCTTTTATTGAAATAGTTGACATGCAACGTATTGCGGCGGAGTAAAATCGATTACGTGTTATTGGCTTTGCGGAAGCTCCTATTTACTATGTGTAGCTGAGCTTCATGCTCCTTTTCATTTGCAGTCGCAGACTTTTCTCAAAGAGATCCGTGTCTAGAGTTTACCCATCGTCCAAGTTGGCTCGTAAGGACCTGGTCGTACTACGATGGTGGCTTGTTTGTCGGATTTTTTTTCAGTTAGAACCATGCCAATGTCCACAAGAGCTTGTACGACATCTTTCGAGCGAATCGGAATCTTCAATATTGTTATAGGGTAGCTTGCCTTGAGTTACGGCAGGTCTGAAAAATTGAATAACGAAATTGAAGATTCAGGATCATTGAGTTTTGCTACAGATAGGATTTCAAAGGCTAAGCCTTGTATGATGACCTCGACCCTTGATTTCTTTCTACTGTCATCACTAGCCAATTGTACGCGAATATAGTAGCTCTCAGATCACAAAAAGTCTGTGTCGTTTCTGTGAATGGAACGCAGCGGCCTGGCAATATTACATTTTCATTGTTACTTAAAGACATGATTGGATAACTTCAGGCTTGAAACAATTCCTTGCCATTGCGCATGATTCATTCTTCCATTGAAGATATATATGCATCGTATCGGTGCGGGGCACTGATAAAAAGATATAGCAACGCCACATAGAACATCAAGGCTGTCCATCTACATCTCAATTTAAGTCTATATCCAATCATTCTCATCGGCTTGCTTACTTGGACACAGCCGTGGGCCAGGAACAAAAAGCTAATCAGATCGCTTCAGCTCGAACTAGGTACTTGTCATTCAAGAAAAGTGATCATGCGATCGAATTTACAACCTAGGAGCTCAAAATGTCATCCGCAATCCTTCTTCTCTCTCAAACACGAGCAGCGGATTTCTTTTTACAACAAACATGCACATGGTATCTAGATATTTTTGAGATACCACAGAAGCAAGACCATTATCAATAATCACACATTCAAGCTACGTAGCGTAATCTCGTACTTCTGAATTCTCGGTAATGGCTATCATCTAGTGCATGAAGATACGCGCATAGTCACTGTCTAGCATGATGATACACTCTTTGCTAAACCTGTGAAGATTATTTTTCAATCCTGATGTCTTTAAAGGAAGCTCGATCTACGATAAAGCAGTTAGCTTATCTTTTCAACGGGAAATCAAATTCTGAATTTCAGATTGCAGATTGTGTAGCCAAAAATAGGGAAAAAAGGAATTTGTCTTAAGAATACTATAAAGGAGAGTCCAGTCGTGTCAAAATACATGCTAGATCTATGCCCAAACCAATTCGTCTATCTTTCACTAGTCAAAAAGAGCACAGGATGATACATGTATATATATGTATATATATATCCCACGAATTCTCATCTCATTACTACAATTGCTTTTAAACTAACCTAAACAACCAAACCACCTACTGCGTACACAACTTCCACATATCCAATAAAAAAACCCACGAATCAACCTCTCTACCATCCGATCGCAACCACAATCTCCTCATAAAAACAGGAAGAAAGTGTATACTGTACCTAGTCATATAAGATACCTAGATATGTATGATACCTAGTCCAGTGATCACAAGATGCTATCTTTAAATATCCACTCGACATGCAATGTCATTCATGGTGCGAATTGTGACTCCTTCTATAGCTAGATAGATATCTGTATGCATTTCCAAGTTCGACTTTTTGTAATAGATACCTACACAACAAGAAGAATTTGAACGGGATAGCAAGAACGTGATCTGATATGAAGTGAATATTGGGGGTGGCACGAGGGAGTCGAGATATCAAGTAGAAAATAGATTAAGAGAGTGCTCCATAGCTGCCCTGTTTGTGTCCAATATAGAGATATAGTAAAACCATTGGAGATAGTGTGAGGATTCATTGATTCATTCATTTCATCGCAGAGCTACTAAGTCAAGTGATATCGAAGCTAGACGCTAAACGCTAGAAGCGCGAGACCACTACATTGAGCAAAGACGATATGTACCATAAAATAATTAGAAAGCATCCCAGAGCTGCAGCAACGCCATCCATCATTCATGATTTGTCATCGCATTTTTTTTATAACTTTCCTTTCCCCCCTTCCCAAACACTCCATCCATTCATACCATTCATTATTACCCACCAAACTAAGCGAAGAACTTGCTATAGGCAGCCTTTTCTTTCTTAGCTCTCTCCGCTGCATTTTTCTTCACAGCCGATAATTCCTTAACAACAGCCGCATCGCCGGGAACCAATTTGTTGGCCTCTTCCAAATCCTTTAGTGCATCATCTTCATTCTTAAGTCCTACGTGTGCGATTGCGCGACGGTAGAGAGCTTTGGCTTTATCAGTATCAGTGGTACCAGAAACTGCGAGAGCGGCGCTAGCGGTACGTTCGGCATCGGCGAAGTTCTTAAGCTTGTTGTGGAGGAGGGCAGAGTTGCTATTAAGGGTGAAACGGAGAGCTGAGAGGGTGGAAGAAGTTTCGGCTGGAGAAGAAGTAACGTCTGGTTCTTCGTTGAGATAACGGAGACCTTTCTCGTACTTGTCGAGGGCGAGAGGGAGCTTGTTGTCTTTGAAGGCGGCGTTTCCGTAGGTCTTAAGATCGGTAACTATTTTGACGGTTTCTTCTGCGGTGGGAGGAGTTGACATATCTTCTGGGAAGTCTTTTTTATGGGAAAATCTCTAGGTTAACCAATACTCCAAACAATCGAACGACAAGACAAGAGGGATAAAATGATAAAAGGAAAAACTGATAAGAGGAAAAACTGATAAAAGGAAAGCTGGAAATCTCGAAGAATTCTGGAATATAGGACGAAAAAACGACAGACGGAGCATTAAGGAAACATGTTGCAAATGTGTTGACTAGTTCTTGAAACAGTTGAAGAAAGATGATTTAGAAGATGAAGTACCTTCGTATGTATCGCCGGTAGAATCGGGAACCTTTGCATCGGCAGATTCAGCTTCGTCACCGGTAAGCTCTCCACAGTCTGTGATGATGACTTCCTTGTTTGGCTTGTCACCATTTTGAGTTGGCATGTTCTCGACTTTGCGAACGATGTTTTTACCACTGAGGACTTGACCGAAAACGACGTGCTTGCCATCAAGATGGGGAGTTGGAACAGTTGTAATGAAGAATTGACTTCCGTTGGTTCCTGCGAGGTCTTTGTTAGTCTAATCTCTCACTATTTTAATCGAGGAGCTTCTTCAGATGAAGTGCGATCGTTGTACATACCTGGACCAGCATTGGCCATTGAGAGTAAGAAAGGTCTGTCATGCTTCTCTACAAAATTCTCATCGTCGAATTTGACACCGTAGATGCTCTCTCCACCAGTTCCGTTGCCAGCTGTGAAATCACCTCCTTGGATCATGAATTGCTTGATCACACGATGGAAACCGGAACCCTTGTAGGAGAGAGGTTTGCCGGCCTTTCCAACACCCTTCTCGCCAGTGCAAAGAGCTCGGAAGTTTTCTGCAGTTTTGGGAGTAACATCATCGTACAATTCGAAAGTGATTCGTCCTTGAGGGTCTTTTCCAATGGAAATGTCAAAGAAGACTCGACTGCGGGGTTTGGTTCCTTCAGCAGACATTTTGTTGTTGGGTATATGCTTGTATATGAGAGAAGAGATGTAGAATGGAAATTGAATAGAAAATTAGGGTATCGTATGCAAAATGAATAAAGGTTCACAGATTATTGAAATTGATTGTTTAATTGCTTTTTTCTAATAATTTCAGCCTTCTGCTGAGTAGAAGCTTCGAGATGGAGAGTTGGAATGTGGGGGTCGGCGTTTGCACCTTCCGACCTGAAGCTTTACTTAAAGTGGAGAATGAGGCTATTCACGTGTGGCATGACATTCACTTCATCAGGAAGGAAGGTCCAGAGTATTCCATATTGGTTATAGAATATTTTGTGGTTTACTGTTATTACGTAGAGAGGCGGCAATTTCAAGATCAAGATGAACAAATGGGATGCCTTGAGACATCTATATGTGGAGATGGTAGCCGCTGGCCATTTCTCTGGCCTTGCGCTTAGAGCCTCTACAGATTCACAGATGTGTTCAAGCATGAATTGTGAATGGTCTGCGATACGCCAAACCTCTCATGCCTTCTGATTTGACCTGGTTGACATCTCGAGTGTTACCTAACAGCATTAGTACCAGAACATACATGTATGCATTCAACCAATGATAAGGAGGACGTACCGGGCCATCATTCACCAAAGCCACTTCCTACAATCAAACATTCGTCAGCAAAATGACCCAAGCAGTCTCAATTGTGGTGTGACCTACCATCATTGCCTGGAACACACCATCTTTGACCCTTTCTGACGCATAACCTTGTTGGACCTTTGTCACAAAAAGTTGATATAATTCTCTAGCCTGGTCCCCTCCCATGGCTCCATGAAAGTCTGGCTTTGAACCCTTCTTCGTTGAGGCAAGTAATGTGAATTGTGAGACTGATATTTGGAAGGACTTGTCAGTCTGTGCGACTCCCATGTCTAAGGGTAGTACTCAATTATCTTCACATACCACAGAGAACTTCTCCTTGGATGTCTTGTACATTGTGTTTCCACTATGAAATGAAATGTGTTAGGACGGTAGACAAGCAAGAACAACAAAACAGCAACTGCATGACTCAATTAATGCCCGGTATGAAATAACAGAGAATCATTTCCAAGATCAAGAGAAGTAAGAGACTCCTCGTTCATACCCGACCGCCATTTTCATCATCCCACAATCGCATTTTCAGGACTTTTGCTGCCAACGATTCTGCATCTTTCTCTGTATCACCAGGAGCCACAGCGGCAAATATTAATATGCCTTTGCCAATTGATGATATCAACTGCTTGTCTACCGTTACAGAAGCAGACAGAACACGTTGAAGTATAGCTAAGCAGAACCTAGTAAGTATCAAGTCTGGAGAGCAAAAAAGGGACGAGGGGTAAAGTTGGAAATGATACCCTTCATATTTACTAGTAGCTGGGTAGGCAAATGACCGAGATTGAATTGGTCTTGTTGATCTTCCGACTAGAATAAAGATCGATTGCTCTCTCGGAATGATTTATACAATGAAGGGGGACATTGAGGATTCCCGATAGTCTGAATTTCAAGTCGACGATATCGACAGGTAGGAACAAGAGGTAGGAACAAGACTCTCTCTATATGACGACCTACTTCGGGACCATATGATGCAATCCCCACTTGAGCATTTATTTCATCCATGATGAATAACAATTAATCACAATGATATAAGATGTAAGTCTTTGATGATCAAAAGAATCATAAGATATGCAGTTTAATTACAAATGGAAATCTAAATCTAAAAATTAGAATCCAATTCCAGACAGTAACATAGATTCATTCCATATCCAGCCATGGCATTCTCTCTGTAAACCTTGCCCATAAGCATTTCCCCCACGTTCTTTTAAGGCTGCAGGTGATGAAGGTAAGGTGCAAGCGAGGCTCTCTTCCCGCAATCTTACCCAAGCAATATGGTCGCAACGTGAAATCCAATTCAAAATTCAGCAACAACTTCTCAACCTTTCACCACTACACATTCACACAAATCCACGCCGTTACTTGGTAGCAAGGTAATTTGTAGATTCCTTGTACTACCACCTTTTCACGCAAAGGCTCAAGCTAGACATCTATACCACGCATGGGGTCTGATATTTGTCAAACAAAGCTAGCCCTTGTACACAACAGCAATCACCAAACACCAACCCATCGATACGTTTTTCCGTACCCCTCACAATTACACGATGGCGGCACGAAAACTTCAGCAAGAAGTCGACAAGTGCTTCAAGAAAGTCACTGAAGGCGTGGCAGAATTCGAATCAATCTACGACAAGATAGAACAATGCACAAATGCTGCGCAGAAGGAGAAGTTGGAGGACAACCTCAAACGTGAGATCAAAAAGTTGCAGAGGCTTCGTGACCAAATCAAGACATGGGCTGCAAGTAATGACATAAAGGATAAAGGTCCCCTGTTAGATCACCGGAAATTGATTGAAACGGTAGGGCATATATTTTACTTAACTGTGGAGTGAGCTAAACTGTTGTAGCAAATGGAGAAGTTCAAGGCAGTAGAGAAAGCTATGAAGACAAAGGCATATTCGAAAGAAGGGCTGTCGGCGGCAGCGAAGCTGGATCCGAAGGAGCGCGCGAAAATGGAGACCGGGGAATTCTTGGGCAACATGGTAGAGGAGCTAGAGCGCCAGATCGAGACAATGGAAGCCGAACGGGAATCAATATCAGCAACAATGAAGAAGGGGAAAACTCAAAGTGCCAAGGCCGATAGAATAGCAGAGCTGGACAACTCAACGGAACGGCATAAATTCCATCAAAATAAGTTGGAGCTTATCAAACGCTGTCTGGAAAATGGTACTGTCGAGGTTGAGCAAGTCAAAGATCTTGAGGAGTCCATCAAATATTATGTGACCGACAATATGAACGATGACTTCATGGAGGACGAGGAAATTTATGATGAGCTCAACCTTGATGAGGAAGAAGATAATTACGGCATGAATAATGATAATGATCGGGTGTCATCACAAGACACACAATCGATACAGGAGGATGTACCAGATACAGATCTACGATCCAATAGTTTATCTGGAAAATCGAAATCAGGTTCAGAACCGCCTCTAGCTGCTGCACGAAGACCTTCTACGCAACTGAAAAGCCCTCTCCCTTCCTTGGCCACTTTACATACCCCTCTATCGACTTTGTCAACAAATGGAAGCTCAAGTAACCTTATGAAACCAGCTGCGGTACCTACACGTGCCCCTGGGGAGACATTGAAATATGCTTCGGCGGCGGCGGCGGCTGCTGCTAGTGATAAGAACGGCCTTGCTCCATTGCCCCCTCCACCTGAAACTTTACCGACCCCCGCAACGTCAGCCAGTCACCCACCTTTATCAGGAAGTGCTGGACGGAGACCGAGTGTAACGGCATCTCCAACAACTATACATTCACAAACTGCAAGTGTCAATCAGACACCTGTGACACGATCCAGTGTTCCAACTACAGATACGCCATCAAGTGCCCAAACTAAATCTCCAGCTTTGAGTCAATCAAGTGCTGCACCTAGTGGAACAAGTGTGTCTCATCCTGTTGAAAAAACAGAGAATACGAGACCAAATCTTTCCTCAAACTCGTCAGGGAAGCAGCCAGCCTTATCCAAGACAGCAGAGGGCAAGAAAGGTTTGTCTATTGCTATCTCATGCAGTTCCAATACTGACAGTTCTTTGCAAGCTGTTCCACCGCAATCGAATGGTGTCTCGAATGGGCTTAATTCAAGCACACCAGAGAACACAGAATCTGTATATCATCTGCCTTCAGGGTTCCAGGATATGCTTCAATCTTTTGAGGTAATTCAAAAGAGTGCCCCAGATGTTTTATCCACAGCATCGCAGAGAATGTTGGCATCATCCCAGGCTAGTGGTCCTGGCATGTCAGACGTTTCGCCTCCTCGCAGCTACAAACCAGAAACCCCTTTCAACACGCCATCATATTACCCCCAAGACGTCCCGTCAGTGCTAGATGACCCTAGGTTATATAACCGTATAGATGGAGAAACTTTGTTCTATGTCTTCTACTACAAGCAAGCCACATATCAACAATATCTTGCAGCTAGATCACTAAAAGAACAAAGTTGGCGATTTCATAAACAATATCAAACTTGGTTCCAACGACATGAAGAGCCAAAGGAAATTACTGAGCTGTATGAGCAAGGAACTTATCGTTTCTTTGATTATGAGAGCACATGGTAAGTTTCACCATATTCATTCTTTTCCTCAGCATCAACTAATCAACTGTCTATAGGATGAACCGAAGAAAAGCAGACTTCAAGTTTATCTACAAATTCCTAGAGGACGATGTATGAATAATGCGCTGGCGCCTATGGTATCTTTTGGTTGGAGGATAAGTTGGCGCAGTGGAAATTGCTCAACCAGTATCTGGCTTGGGAGAATGACCTTAGTTGTCTTAATAGCAAATACTCTTGCTCATCTGGTTTGACTCAGATGAAGTTTCTTAACTTACCTGGCAATATTCCTCAGAGAAATAAAATGTTTGCTCGTTGTGATATCTGCCAAACTTCACCCTTCCATACTGGCTCACTAGTCACTGGGGTATTTCTGTGTTCTGTGAACGGCTAGGGACATGCATGATGAGACTACAATTATGCCAATTGATGAAATGTACTCTTCAAGGCAAACTCAATGGGAGAGAGATTGATAGCACCCGAAGATCCCAATTGTTCTCTTGCATTGGCCTTGACGAATCAGTCTCTATACTAAGAGCTGTACTTGAACGTGATTGGCGAATCAAAACATTGACCTTATTCAGGGCTTATCATAAACTGTGGGTTGATTGGATATTTCTTCGTATATGGCAATAGTAACCCTAACTAGAGAAATCTAGACTCTAATCCAGATTCTCGTCTTTTTGTCGAAAATTGTCCTAAACGGTTGGTTTATCTTCATAGGTCGCAATGAAATGGCCTGCAGACATTATGTACGAGTATGACAACTTTGGGCATCATCACTTTTAATGTTTGATACCCAATTCTCAGATATTATAAGAGGACGTAAGCTCTCCCCAGATTTCAATTTTTTTTCAAAGGAATCATGATTTCCTTGCATATTCCTTTTTGCCTCGTCTCTACCCAAGTACAACCAACTGCGCACAAGTTTTGGACCCCAAAGAGGTTTCGCTGAGCCAACCGACAGCGCGTGGTATGCAACCTCGAAAATGCGACTTTGAATGGCAAATCATAAGTGTCAGGCATAGATAGTATTGATTGAACATTGAGAAGACAGTCCTCTCAGTATTTTTTTGATCTCTTTTCGGATAATTTTGTTCAGTGTATATCTCTACATCTTGATTGTTTCACGGGAGAAATACTAAAATGATATGCAGGTCCAAGTTGTTGTCTTATATTCAGACATGCCCCATTTCGTAAGCATGGGGCTTGTACATGGATTCAGATCCTTGACAGAAGTGCTCGTGCTTCTACAATTCTTCTTTCAGGATATGATGCAGCCTTTTCTTCACATGCGATGATGAGCTCACTGAATGTGGCAGTTGAGAAAGACACAGCCAAGCGTTACATCGGCGTCTGCCAGTTATCGTTAGCACAAGCAAATGGAACTGTACAACGAATGAAGGCAAAAGAAGGCGGACGGTTATTCCCGCTCTTTTCACATCTTGCTGCCTAATGGTACGGTTCCATTACCTAGGAGGTTCCAAATCGCAATGGTCCATAGGAGAGTAAACACGAATTCCCTGCTCTTCAAGATGCATTGTTTTGAAAATAGTGGTCAGCGTTGGAGCAATGATATAGGAACAAGTTGCCCAGATCAGGTTTGAAAATAGATTTCCTTCTACTACGTCCATTTCACGATACCTCAAAACTTGTCTTTACTGCGCCCCACCGCCAATATGGTCAATCAGCGACCAGCGATTATGATACCATGGGGTTTCGAATCTACTAAGCCAAATGCCCCATTTTGATCGATTCCTGTGAGCATTCTATTGTTCTGTGCCTTGCTGCGCATATAGGGCATCAATGATCGCCGACAGACACAATGCCCCTTCAGTTGCCTTTTCGGCTAGCCGGACCACAATCCTAGGATTATTATCGTTCGCCTCATTGAGGCTTGAGTTGCCCAAAAGCAAATGCTTCTTTTTTTCGAACGTTCGCCCACTGTGCCGTTCGACGATAAGGCTAGAAGGTAGCCGGAATCCTAGCTTCGATTTCGACATTACACAGGCCAAAAAAAAATGCTGACATGCTTCATTGGCGAGTCGAAATTTCCCAAATTTTTGAATCTCGGTGACTTCATTAAGTTAGATCCCGCCAAATAAGTGCGAGGGGCTTTCTATTACCTTTCTATGCGTATGAATGCAATCAATGAAGCATCCGGAGCCATTTAAAGTTTTCCGGGGCAACCTTTCACTATGAATATCACAAGGCTATGAGAACTCATTGGTAAATAATAAGCTATGTTGTCATTAACCTCCGTCTAATTGCACAGATCATAGGTGATGCATGTGAGTACTTCAGGACTTGACTGACTGTGAGGGAATGACTGTTAAGTATTGGGTATTGAGAAGCCTCGCAGGTTCCCACGTCTATTAACTAGCTATATCATGTCACGAATTAACCAGAAACGTGGAGATCTTCATATCAATACACAAGCATCACTCTACTTCTTCCTAGAGTTCCTCTTTTACATCAATATTTCTTTCGTCGACTCTCCTTAAATATATCAATACCTGGTAAGTAAACTTTGTTTATACTGTCAATCTCATATTCGTATGACCTAGTCAAAGTGAATTTTAAACAGAAGATGATACCTTTCAAGTGAGGTCTAGACTAATATCATGGAAAAGGGTAAACAGAACCATTTCCAGAACAAGCCTGCTATCTATCATGTATTCCAATTCGTTTGATAAAAACTTGAGGCCAAGGCAATACCTTGATCAAGGTAGACTTCGGCCTAATCCGACTACAGTACCATCAATGGGGGGATTTCCAATGAATCGAGTCCGTTCTGACCAAAGCTCGACCAGCACTCAATCCGGATCTTCTGGAGACTTTTACTCGCCGGTTCTCATGAATCGAAATTATTCGGATCAAGGCTCAATCAGTACCCAACCTGGATCGTCCAGGGAATTCTACTCTCCGGCTCCCAGCAGTCCATCCATGTCTTTCGATTTGAGCCCCTCCCAACTACCGCAATACTATGATGATGGATATAATCAGGGATATAACAACTACACCACAGCATCATATGGTATGGAGAGAAGCTCATCAAACCAAAGTCATTCTCTCAAAGCAACACCATCTAGTCTCGGCTGGTCTCCCGAAACCGAACTCCTCAGACTCTACAAGTTAATTGTGCCAAAAGGAAAGGAGCCATATCTAGAACTACTTCCAGGATACACAATCCATCAAGATACACCCCAGCGTGTCTTTCTTGATCCACCTAGGTACGTCGATCTACACTTAAAGATCCTAACGAATACTCATACATGCAAAGCAATCCTCAGAAAGGCATCTATCCTTGTCAATTCCCAATCGGCTGTCCGGGCAAGCAATTTCGAAGGCCTGCGGACTTAGAACGACATTATAGGCATGTACACGCTGATGCCGATCAAAAGGGTAGTTTTCCCTGCGACTACAAACCCTGTACCCGATCCAAGGGTCCCTTTACCCGAAAAGACCACTATCGAGACCATCTCAAAGATTTCCACAAAGAAGATATTGGCACCGCTAAGCAACCCAAGAATACAAAAGATCCTAAGAAGCTAGAAGCTCTTCAACAAGCGTGGCTCGAAGAACGTCAGATCGATCCGAGATGGTGGAGATGTAGAAAGTGTCTCCGGAGAGTTTATGTGGATGCGAATGGATATAAATGTGTGAATTGCAACGAGGAGTGTGCGAAAGAGAGGATAGAAGCGAGGGAGCAGAAGAGACGAGACGGAGATAGAGAGAAAATGTACTATTCGGGTGAGAGAGCGGATGTGATGTATGCGGCCCAGTGCACGAGTTGTAATGGAAGCATGTGGATCTCGGATATAGGGTTTGGGGAAGAACATTCGGTGCCCTGTCCGATTTGCGTGCCGAGTGAGGAGATTAGCTACGAGGACGTGGAGTGGCAGGAGGATGGGAGTTTCGAGCCGGAGTACGAAAATTCTTATTAGGAAGTCTGGGTTGGCTTCTTGGGGGTGTGCTGAAGGGTTATGATTCGATGAGTTAATGTGCTATGAGACCAGAGCAGTAATTCTTGAAAACAAGATATATTCATCTGCTGGTGTTAGGCTTTAGAGTTGGGCGGTGGATCAAACTGAGTGGCGTTTATAGGTAGACAGACGGTTGGTTGGTTGCTTGATTGGGACTTGGGATTTGGGGTTGGTATTGCTTTTCGTGCTACTTTATCTATTATTTTCTTCTTTCTCCTTTCTACACAATGTATATTTACCTTTTTATTTTTTCGCTTTTCCAAATATCTATCCATTCATATCCAGGATTTCCTTTTCAATATCCTATTTGTCGAAATGAGCCAAAAAATCTTCAAATTGTTACGTCAATTTTCGGCATGGCAACAACATTGCTTCACCTTTTTTCTCTAGTTCTCTTTCTCTTTCTCTTTCTTACTTCCTCCTTTTTCTACTCACTCTCATCCCTTCCTTCAAATCTTCTCTATCTCCTCTCTCCTTTCTTTCTCTACAATTAATTTCCATTTTCAAAATAGATATATATCAAATTCTCTTCTCCAAAATATCAAACCACCCCCCTCCCAAAAGAACAACCCCATTTTGCTTTCAGAAAAAGCATCCGGCGCGGAGTTTCAGGAAAAGAGAACGAGAAGGGTGTTTTAATTGGAGATGGAGTTGATACTTGGATGGGTGTTGAGGCTGAGACTGAGAAAGGAGACTGGCAAAAACATATCATGTCATATCATATCATATCATATCATCATATCATATCATATCATCATAGCACAGCATGACATACCTATCACGATAAACAAACAACTTACATGCAGTATGAACATACAACAGCATAGCATCACAGCGACAATACATCAATCTCCATTCTCTGGCATTTTGAACACGGAACGGGAATGCATTTCCCTGATTGGTTGATGAATTAGTGGATGAGTGGATGGGTCATAGAGGTATGAAGTACGGACTCAGTAGTATCTCTCCCAGAATATTCATTTCCATATTCTCCATCTTCCATTTATGATTCTTCTTGTACCGTGTGATCTAATCCAATCCAATTCAATCCATCCACGCTCCAGAAAAATAACCTAAATACGTATTATTAGTCGGAGAAGATATATTTATCTTTCTATTTATATTCCTATTTATATTTGCAGCGAGAGTGACGAATATAAGATGCGAGGTATGGAATATGAATTATAGACAGCCTGGCGGTCAAAAAATAATGAGCAAAGCAGCTCTAGAAGAGAACTCTTAAGAAGCAGATACGATGCGTAGAAAGCTTGTGGAGTTTCCCGGCCACTACCCCCTCCCCCAAAAAGGACGGATATTTTTAAGGATGCTGTGAAAATAACTGTCAAGATGAAAGGAAATGGTGTACATGTAAATACAGCTTAATACACACACACATAGAGTAAATACAAAGGCAGACAGTGTAGCATGAACATAAATATAGATATTCATAAATATATTATAAATATTTAATTCAACATAAGAATATTGACAGCAAAAGTAATAATATATATATAGATGCTCAATATAGAATTTTACAAGACGAAAGCGCTCTCTCCTTTGTTCTTCGCCACACTTTCCTCATCCTTCTTATCTTCTCCCTCTCGTTACTGACTCCGCTCTCCTCTTCTCATACTAAAACATACCCCCATCACCCCTTCCTTCTCTCTGTATATGTCCCCAACTCCCCATCGTAGGCGACACAATTTCCTCTCTGAAGCCTTCTCCTCTCGCGCCCCTTCCATTTCCAGTATCAATACTCATCCCCTCTGGGATACCCATCCCCATCCCTGTTGCAGGTGCAGGCGCCATTATGAAACCCCCATCATTACTACTTCCACTCCCCTGACTCTTGGGTTCCTGTTTTCCCTTCCTCCTCAATCCTCCTAGAAAACTCCTACTTTGTTTTTCCTGTCTATTAAATCCAAGTCCCCCTAACCCCTTTCCCCCTGGCGGACTAGAGGCTTGCATACCCAACTGTTGTGCGCTGTGATCTAACGGTGGTGCATAAGGTCTCTGATATTTTGAATCTTTCCCAAAAGTTGCCTCCCAGAAATTATGTTTCTCTTTCTTTTCTTTATCTTTGTCTTTGCTGTTTAAGATAGAGATCGTACCTATTTTTTCACTTCCACTGCCTGCGGAACCGGGAGCGCGAAGATATGTTTGGCTTGTATTATTTATACTTGTGGCATTGCTGTTACTCATTGAGTAGTCCTGCCAAGGAGGTGGGAGGATAGAATGTTGGTGTTCTGAATCTGGTTGATAATACGATTGTGTTGGAGGAAGTGGGAGAATTTGAGGGGATTCGTGGAAATTTGTATTTTGAAGACCTTCGACTATATCTTCGAATTGGAGAGAAACCTGATCGGCA